GACAGGAAGTGCGGATGGGCAACTTCCAAAAGATGCAGCGAGGACAGAAACAGCAAGCTACCTGGACAGTCACCCTAGGTCTCACAGCAACATTGGTACACCCAGTTTTGGCTAAGGCCAACAGAACTTGACAGACCACAACAACAGCAGGGAGGTAGAAAGGCTATCTTATCCTGACTTGGCAAGGTCCAGCAGTCTTCTATATTTGTCTCCTGCAAGCACATAGGACTGCATGTCCAAATCATTGGTCAAGGTGGGGGCAGTTCTTTGCCCAAGAGGCCATTAGCTGAGGCGAAAATGAACTCCAGCAGGAGCAACAACAGTGTCCAACATATTTTTGGGAAAGTGCACGGTGTTGTCAGGAGCAACAGTGTCTCATGTCAACGGAGTACTAATATTAAAACATTTAAATGCCATGTTCTGCATGTCTATGAAGTGATTGAAGATTAAGCATCTATGTCTGACTAATCTCATAGGTAAAGGAAACATGAATGAAGATAATCTGTAATAGTCAGGAACTTAGCTAAAAAACTGATTGAAACTTCCCTGAGTAAAGCAGGAACAAATACCTAAACAATATAACTATGTACATATACATACATACATACATACATATAAATAAATCCCTAAAATAGAGGTAGAGTAGAAATGTCAAGACAAGAGGTAGAACTATAAAGGGCAGCATGATAAATATCCCATTGTATCAATATACAAAATGTCTTGAATACAAGAAAAGTATATATACATAGAATATGGCAAGAATAAATGTGCATAAATTGTATCAATATATGAAATGTCTTGAACATAAGTAAAAGTATACATACATAGAATGTGGTAAGAATAATGTGCATAAAACATCCTAAGTGGAAAGATTTCACACAATATAACACAATATAAACTTAATTTTACATAGCTTACGACAAATAAGAATATATAACAATGTAAGCTGTAAAATACTATTATCTCACTCTTACTCAATAATTCACAAGAAAATAGACTAATCTACCTATATCCCATCTAAACTATACCTTTCCCAACCATACCCTATTCCTGTCTAAAAGATAAACCCAAGTGTAAGCATCACCTTCCATACCCGACCCTAAGTAACTAAAACCAACCCAAAGAAGATGACTATTATCCCCAAATTCCAAGGGTAGGGAAAGGGGGCGTCGTTATCTTACTTCCTGCTGAAATGGGATGATGATTGCTCCTGTAGGAAGAAAATTTTTAGCAACCAAATTTCTCAACAAAACTGGCTGTGACATAGTCACTGTGTGGCAGAAAATGCTTGACTGTAGTTCTATTTGAAACTCTGGCCAGGGTGTAATAAGAAGGTGCACCATTACAGCTAGCTAGTCATGAGTTGTCTCAAGCAAAACAGTCTCAAACTGGTTTTAGGGTGATGTTTGTAGTTCAGATGCTTCAGGTTGAGTCAAGTGGAAACGATGACGTGGGGCCCCATCTTCTTTCCAGAGAGTTCAAAGACTGCTGTTAGGAATTGTTATTATTCCTTGTGGAAAAGTTACACATCAATATTAAAGTAAAATTTTCACGTTTTAAAGTATGCATAAGGGAAAGGCAATAATAAGCATTAAAATGTATATGAGAAAATTAGGATTTCAGAGAGAAAATTGCGTATAAGAAATGAGTCCCCAGAATTTGTTTTCTTCTGCCTTACACCAATTGGCTTCTTGATTTAAGGCAGAAACCGTGAATTTAATCTTAACAACATGCTTGAATTTAGAGACGCCAAATCCAACTCCAAAGCCAGCATTGGTTTACATGAATTGGGACTACAGAAGGAGACAAAGTGAATAACCCACTACAGGGCACAGTCAGGCTTGGGAGAATGAAGTGAGGATGGCACTTTACCTGTGTGGTCAGTCTCTTCAGAACCCAAATCTCAGTCTAATAATGAGATAAACATTAGACAGTTCCTCTAGTGAGGCACACTATAAAACACATGACCAGTGAGCAATATACAGAAAACTCCAGAAACTGCAAAACGTGAGAAATTGTTATATCCAAAAAGACATAACAGTACCTGACAGCTCAAAGTCACATGAATTCATGGATGGGACCCTGGAAAGGAGAAAGGACATTAGGTAAAAGCTAAGGAAACCTGAACAAAATATGATAACATTTGGTATAAAAGTATCATAAAGTGTTAATAATGGGAAAACTGGGTAAATGGCAATGCTGTGTGATTTTTTTTTTTTTTTTTTAATTTTGCTGTTTCAAAAAGCTTTATTTTTACTTGGTCCAAGATCTGAGAGGGGCTTCAGGGCGGTTACAAAGCTGCCTAGTGGCTTGAGAGGTTCGGGTGAGGGTCCTGAGGTTGGCTGGTACAGAGCAGAGGGAGGGAAGCCCCTTGGAAGGGGAGGCCTCCTAGTCATGCTTGAGAGTGAGCGGCTGAAAGAGATACTCGCCCAGAGATGGCTGGGGCACACCAGTCTGCGTTGGCTGGGGCCCAGCCAACCTAGGGATGTTGGTCAGGTGGTTGCCCATCTTCTTGATGAGCTTCACCTCTTCATCCAGGAAGTGGCTTTCCAGGAAGTCACAGAGATGAGGGTCTGTGCGACCAGAACCCAGGGAATGAAGATCCAAGAGGGCCTGGTTCAGGTTCTTCTCCAGGGCCAAGGCAGCTTCCATGGCCTCCTGAGTTTTACCCCACTCATCTTGAGATGGCTTCTGCACATCCTGGAAGAGTGCACGTTCCCTGAGGTCATTCTGAAACTTAAGGAGTCGCTAGGCACCCTCGCGCTTCTCCTTGGCCAATTCACAGAAGAGGTGGCCTACACCGCCCAGAGCCACGTCATCCCCATCAAAATAGTAGCCCAGAGAGGCGTAGGAGGCCCGCAGGGCAGGTGCAGGTTCACCAGGCGGTTCACGGCAGCCTCCACTTCGGTAGGGTAGTTCTGACGAACCTGGGAGGCCATGGCTGAGGCGCTATGTGCGGACGGAGCTGGCTGGTCCTAGGAGCCTGGGGCGAGGAGATGGTCCTGGAGGCTGCGACTGGAGAGGCCGGACAGAAGCTGCTGGGACCCAGCTAACGGAGGGCGTGCCCGGGTCTGCTCTGTCCAAACACTTGAAGCAAGAGGCAGATCCGTGGGAGCCAGGGCTGCGCTGCTGGCTGTGATTTTTTTTTTTTTTAAATGAATTTTTCTGTACATCTAAAACTTTTTTTTTTTAAGACCAATAAAATATAATGAGTAATATTTTAAAAGTAAATTTAAACTTCAGACATCTGTTTGAAAAGAAAGCCTGAACATAATTATTTATAATATTTTAAATGTTTTATTAATTTAATTCTTTAAGAAGTTGATGTAATTTATTTTGATCGTATTCACCTCTATTCCTTCCCCCTAACTACTTTCAGATTCACCCCCACCTCCCTGCACCACCAACTTTTTGTCCAGTTTTTCTTTTTATACTGGAGTCCATTTGTATTACTTGTATACTCCTGAATGTGGATCCATCCACTGGAACATGGGCAGCCTTCCTAGGAACCACACCCTTAAATAAAATCTCTCTATCACCTGTGCGTAGCTCCTCAGTTAGGGTTGTGGGCGACATCCTTCCCACTGTGTTGGAATGGAAGACTTGCTCTTGTGCAGGTCTTCTACAGGCAACCAGGGCTGCTGAGGGTTCATGGATGCATCAGTCCTGTCACATCCAGAAGATTCTGCTTCTCTTCTGTCTACCCCAGCCTCTGGCTCTTACAGTCTATCCAGCCCTTCTTCTGTGATATTTCCTGAGCCATGCTGGTACTGAGGGGAAGTGCATTTCTTCAAAATTGTAACATGACTTTCATGTGTGAGCAGAATTGAGTCACATTCTCATTTGTGAACACCTGATTTCTGAATTTTTAAAGTTCTTGAATAGTAAATAGCAAAATCTGTATAATCGTTTCCTTAGAAGATTGTTTCTGTTTATTTTGTATGTTGTTTAGACATTTTAAAACTCTGAGCTTGTGGTTTGTTTCCTGTTTCTCTATAGATGTTTATCTTTAATATAGTCATGCCTCTAAACCTCGGATGTTTTTAAGGATTAGCCACAGTGGTTCCCTGAATTTCAGTGGCAATACTTAGTCTTTTCTCCATTTTTTTCAGTATGTTTCCTGTTATTTCAGTTCTGACATTTGCTTTCAGATCATTCCTATCTTAAGAAACATACTTATATTGTAATAAATAGTAGGATTTTCGAAAGCCAGCCACTAGAATGTTTCCTCTTGTCACTCAGTAATTTGTCATATTTATTAGTATTTGCTTATTTAGAAAATGACTGTTTGCTGTCAATACCATCATCTTGTAGCCTCTTGATCTACAAAGGTTTTATTTTAAATACTTATTTGTAATATTTTCTGCACTCCTTCTTTTACCTGCACTTGGGTATTTGTTCAGTGCTGAGGATTGCCCTGGACAGTCCACATGCTACATAAACACTGGGCCACTCCCTGTTCATGCTACCATTATCCATTATGTCATGTGTCTCTTGCAGTATTGTATCTTCTCTAGGCCATGCATTTATCTGAATGTTTCTTTCCTTCTTTAACTGATGTTTCAGGTTTTACTTTTTTCAGTTACTACCAATAGAGAAGGAACAAACCTTTAACAGTTCATGGACATCTTATATGTCACATCCAGAGACTAGCAATAGCTGATCATGTATTGAGCAGTACCCTCTAATGAATGGAAACAAGTACTTTCCTTGCAGGCTAAGAACAGAGTGATTGGAAGATTGTGTTCTCTTAGAGCAATTTAGAAGTCTGAATTTTGTAAGAGACCTGTGTTTTAAGGTAATGATTATTTATTTGCAAATTTACTTTTCTGTTTTTAGCTTTAAAATTAACCAGGATATTTAAGTACAAGGTTCACCTTTTCAATATTAAAGGAGTTGTTAGTTGCCAGCATTAAGCTAGAAAACTTTAACGTTCTTTTGTAGCATATATACACCAGTAGAAAGCTATGGGATGCTGACACAGGTCTGTTTTCCTACAGTTTCCAGAATGTGGATTCTTTGGCATGTATGATAAAATTCTTCTCTTTCGCCACGACATGAACTCAGAAAACATTTTGCAGCTGATCACCTCAGCAGATGACATACACGAAGGAGATCTTGTAGAAGTTGTTCTGTCAGGTAAGCAATGGCTCCTTTTGGGTTTTTCCCTTTATTTTTCTCCCATAAAGAGTATTTACTATAGTTTTGTGTTCTGTCACTCTTGGCTTTGGTACTGTGTAATTGCTTGCTTCTTTAATGTGTAGTAATGGTTTCTGCATGGCTTTCTCTTTCAGGAAGATTATATAACAATAAGAAAATAGAAAAACAAATTGAATCAAGTGTTTTTGAAGCTTGGGGAATTACCATTTAAACTGAAAAGAAATTATCTGTGAGTTGAAAAAATACAACAAAATTAAAGTTGTTCCCTTTTTGTAAAAAGCATAGATGGAGAGAACTGAGGTTCCAAAAAGAGAATCTGGATAAAAGGAGAAATATCAAAGACCTGGAAGAGAAAGTGACAATACTGTACAATTTAAAAACGTCTCTTCCCTTCCTGTTCCCAGTGGATACAGCCCACTTCTGTCCCTGCCTTGTCCCTTCTTGCCATTCCCTGTCCTCTAACTCACCATTTCCAATCTCACCCAACAGCATGGGGATAAGATGGCCAGTGAATAGTGTGCCAGAGGAAGAGTGGCACAATGAGGGCATGCTTTTGATTGACAAGAACGGGAGATTGATAAGAGGGAATGACAAGTGGTCATCTTCCTCCCACACTCATCTTTCAGCCTATCCAATTTTCCTTATTGGTCCTAACACTTCTCATCTGTTTCTGATTCTTCCATCTACCTAGTCCCCCAGTGCTGATCTTACACCACAACACCACATTCCCTCTTGGCTTTGGACCTTTCATCAAACCACAGAGTCATCACTCTTGACTTTCAGGTTGAAGTGAAAGAAATATATCTGTATCTATTGCTCCGTTGTTCATGGAGGAGAAAGGAGCCCTGGCAATCTGTTTAAACTCAATATCTATTCTCACAGAAACATTTTGACAATGAGGTTAAGTCCCATAATAATTTTATTTTTACCATTTACTTCAGTGTTTTCTTTCTCGGTGTATCCTAATCTAAACAATTTTTAAATGGGCTAAAGAAGATGTAATAGCTATTTGCCATCTTGTCATCATGAGAGAATGCGTTTGTTATACCCAACCTACGGACTTCCACCTTGGCTTATTTGGAGCTTAACACATTTAAAGCTGTTGAACTTCCAAGGAACTGCTTACAGATCACAGGATTGGGCTCTGAAGATAAAGGTCTCTGCTACCAAGTCTTACAACCTGACATTGACCCTCGCCCCCTAGGTCACACATGATAAGGAGAGAGAACTCAAGCCTATAAGTTGTCCTCTGACTTCCACACATGTCATGCACACACTCCTTCCCCAACACACGTGTACACACACAATAAATAAATGCAGTCAAATATTTTAGATCACAGTTTTAATTGCTGAAAATAATTTATTTTGTGGTTAGATGAAACTTTCAGAGAAGTTACCCTGTATTTTAATATAAATGGATATGGTGACTGTTCCTAACATCTTTGCCATTATAAAATATGGTTTAAAATTTTGTTTTTGCTTTTATTTTTTCAAAAAAGCCTTGGCCACAGTAGAAGACTTCCAGATTCGCCCTCATACTCTCTATGTACATTCTTATAAAGCACCTACTTTTTGTGATTATTGTGGTGAAATGCTCTGGGGATTGGTACGTCAAGGATTAAAATGTGAAGGTAAGTGCTTTGAGATTCATGTATTAATTTGAAAGAGGATTTTACATTTACATTTTTTGACTTGCCAGTGAATGGCTAGGGTCGTAGTTGGTGTCTAGGTGGTAAGGGTTAGAATTGCAAAGCTGAGAGCTCTTGTCCTTTCCTCTGCCTCCACCTACTGGTCCCATTGCATAAGTAACTTGAGCAGTGGTTTCTCTGTGAAAGGAGTCTACTCCACCAGTTTCATGAGTGGTTCAAGAAGGTAATGTGAATACAATACTTGACCCAAAACAGTGGCTTAATAACTATTGCCTGTTTTTAGTTTTTTCTGTACAGTGGTAAAATGTCAAATTATTGTGAGTTGGAATTGCTAGGGAAGGCTACAGGGGCATAAGTCTAATTAAGAAACAGTCTTCTACTGTGGAGGGTCAGTTAACTTGTTTGTAAAGTAATGACAAGCAAATACTTTATTTAGGTTTTGTAGCCTGTGTGGTTTCTGTTGTGACTTACCTCTGCTGTCATAATATAAAATGAACCATAGGAACCAGAGAGATCACTCATCACCTGAGAGCACCTGTTGCTCTTTCAGAGGACTTGGGCTCGATTCCCAGTACCCACATGGTGCCTCACAACCATATAAAACTTGAGTTTCAGAGGATCCAGAGGATCTAATGCCCAAGGGCACCAGGCATGCATGTGGTGCATATTCATACACAAAGACAAAACATTCATACACAAAAAAAAATTTACATTGTTTAAAAACTCAGCAGTTAAGCATAGGTAACGTATAACTAAACAGCAGACTGTGTACTTGTGAATCATATGTATAGACTAGGGGAGATGTCTTAGTTGGTAACATGCGTGTCACATAAGCATGAGGACCTGAAAAGAAAAACTGGGTGTGGTGACATGTGTTTGGGAAGTTTTCAGACAAGAGAATCGCTAGGGCTTTTGTACATCTCGAGGTCCCAATGAGAGACCCTGTCCCCAAAACAAGGTGGATGCCTCCTAAGGAATGACAGCTGAGGTAGATACCTGATCTCCACACTCATACACACATACCTGTGCATACATGACACATGTGTTATGTATTACATATAATACTGTTACTCTATTATTATTTAGTATTATTTTATATTCATGAACACTGAGGTTTTACATTCCATGTAATTTTCTCATCATTGGAGATTTGTTATATACAGGCCACAGTTTGCCTCTGGATAGCTCTTGAACATTTGCTAAGTATCATAAAGCATGCTTTCCTGGGCTCTACCCCCCAGAGTTTCTGATTCTGGGGATGAGTCTAGTAATTTCTATTTCAAATAAATTTCCGGATGATTGTCTTAGCTATCATAAGTCAAGATTCACTGCTCTAATTATTTAACTTTTCTAAATAAATCTTTCTACACTTTTACTGTTCTTGAATTTGTGACCTTCCACATAGTCTGTTATCTGAGTTCTTAATTAAGGTTGGTATTGTTTCCAGAGAAAATAAATTAAATAAAGAGATGCTGGTTTTTAAGTGTCATGTTTCAAATAATTACATTTTAAAATTGTATATTTTACTCTTAAAATATACTTAGGCTGTGGATTAAATTATCATAAACGATGTGCCTTCAAGATTCCAAATAACTGTAGTGGAGTAAGAAAGAGACGTCTGTCAAATGTATCTCTGCCGGGACCTGGCCTCTCACTTCCAAGACCCCTGCAGTCTGAATGTGTACCCCTTCTCAGTGAAGAGGTATGTATTCTCAGGTCATACAAGGAATTTTACTAGTTATTCCTAGTGGTTTTACAGGACATATGATGTCCTAAAACAGGTGACAGCAGTGTATAGTAATGTTGCTACACTTTAGGTACTTTAAAGGTAATAATGATGACCATGTCTACCAATAGCAATAGGTTGTGCTTTGTACCCCCTTGGGATTGCATTATCACTTAGACCATTGTGTGAGCCTCCTTGCCATTATCCTGGCACCTAGTCTCCATGCTTCACTTAATCGTGCATGTAACCATCAGGTGAATTTTCCTAATACACAACTCTGCTTGTCTCTAATACACAACTCTGCTTGTCTCTCTCCACTAGGTAACTATGTTAGGAATCTCCAGAGGAGCAAAACCTGTACAGTAGTGTGTGTGTGTGTGTGTGTGTGTGTGTGTGTGTGTGTATTTACATTACAGGATTTATAGACTAGGAAGCAGGAGAAACCAATAGTTATTTAGAAACTAGAAGCCTCAGAATATGAGGGATTGCTGATTCGAAATCCCTGGACAGTTTCTGTACAAGTCTACCTTTAGAGGCTAGTGCATGTGGAGTCTGGCATACACAGTGATAGCATAGTATGTGAAATGAGCATTGTTTCTGCTTTTTGTTGCATCTGGACCCACAGCCTCATCAGTGACGCCACCCACATTGGCAGCATGTCTTTCCCAGACAGGTATTTCCAGTCAGTTTGCTGACCCACATGGCAGTAGTCTAAAAATACCTTTACCTAGACCTATAATGTACCTTATTCTTTGGGTACCATCACACTTTTGAAACCTTCCTGTTTGGGAGTCTAACATTCTGCCTAGTGTTTGCGCACTAGATTATAGAAAATGAAAAATAAGTTTCTAAAACTAAACAAACAAAAGCCAAAGTCAAGCTATAATGCCTCACTGTGTAAAGATGAAAACAGGCCTATTGGGAGTAAAACCTTTTATCATAACTCTGAGATTGCTTTGTCTGCACACAAGGCTATTTCTATCATGACTGTAGAAGACATAAAGAGGTTTATAAACTCAGAGAAGTTCTATCTTCATGTGCCTCACTTTACTTAGTGCAATACTTGGTACTTAGTTAATACAAGGAGTGAATGAGCGAGCTGCTTCTGCTAGACCTATTATCTGCAGGACTATTCTCTGGGGACACAGAATGGTTAATTGACTTTCCAGAATCATAGGACACATTAATAGGAATTACTTTAATTAAGTTCAGATTTCATTAGTTATTTTTTCTTCTAGTGTATTGTTCAAGGATAAATATAGAAATGTAATGAAGATCTGTGTGCTTGGCAGTACTTGAAATGGCTTACATCTGTAAATTGTAATCTTGTCATTAGTAGTTTTTATAACCTTTGCCCTTCACATATTAGTGCTATCAGGACTTCTGTATACTAGCACAGTGCAAGGCTTTAGCCTACTGTCTATTTAACAAAATCTTTACAAACTGAGGTATCAAAGTAAAAATTATGTAATCCTCTTGTAAAAATCTAATGTTTATATACTACTTAGCCAGTATATAAGAGAAAGGTAATCCTAGTACTCAAGCAAGAATCATGAGTTCTAGATCAGTCAGAGCCTGCCACAGCAACAACAAACACCTGTTTGTTTGTTTGTTTGTTTGTGTGTGTGTTTTAAAAAAAGTAGAAAAGGAATACTATGGTATAGAGACTGAGAATGAGAAGCTATGTATAGTCATATGTAAGGGTTGGGAGAAAACTGATAGTAGAAAATGAGTATATCTTATATACTGAACCACACAGGGAACCTATCTGGCACAGAGAAGTATATTCCTTTAAGAGCCCCGCAAATGATGCTTTGGTGGCAGCTATACACAGTTGATCATTAGGAGCCTAGGGGAGAGCAGAAAGACAGAGAAAGGGGAAAAGTACAGCCATCCTGTAGTATTCACAGGGTATTGGCTTACTTTAGGACTTTCAGCAGATAGTGAAATCCATTATAGACATTGGCACAATATTTACATATAACCTACACACATCTAAGGTCTCTTGCTAAATCTACTGACATCCCTTTCCCTTCAACTGCTCATTAAGGCTGCCATACTTTTCCTGCCATCCTCACCAAGACATGTGACTGATGGCATCAGATTGTGAGTCAGCATACAGAGGTAGGAAGAAAAATGTTTATTAGCCACTGATTTTAATCTCTGAGTCCAGTTTCAAATTTAGATGGGGATAGAATTTAAGTAATCCCTTATATTGACAGGTGACTGCTATAGCCACCCATCCAGAATTGTACCTGGTAATTGTGCTCTGTGCTGTGTCCCTAATGCCCTGATATCAGCAGGACCTGAACAAAGGCACTAACTGGCTATTGGCATGTGAAAAGACATGCCACTAGAAAATAGTGACTGACAGCTAAACCAGTTTTACTGTGTCTTGTCTGATTTGAACTTGAGCAGATCTGAATTAGTGGATGAAGGAGCAGGAGATGTAAAGTGGACTGACACACCTGCATTTTAAATGTTGCTGGTTGCTAGAGCATCTGGACAAGCTCAGAATGCCATTTCTGACATTGAAAGGCACACGATTGTAATGTAATCTTTTCAGTCATCTGGGGGAGATACTCGGTCTGTGTGCTTAAAAAGCAGGATTGTGTGTTGTGTTCTGAATGTATAGCATAGCACTTAGCATATAATAATCAGTAGGTGCATATTCAATGATTAGAATGAGTTGCACTGAACTGGCTTATAATTTAGTTTGATGATTCCCTTTATTTAGAGAGAGCCATGGTTACAAAAATCCACTTATCTCTTAAGCTAAATAAGCAATTTTAATTTTCTTTAATTTTTTAGCTTTACTTGGAGAAAAAAAACTTGTAAAAACTAGAAAGTATTTGCAATATCAAGGAACTGCTTAAAAATCTAATTATTATCCCTACACTGTTTAGTTTATGTTTTGTCTGCCATCATTTAGTTCAAATTCCTACAAACATACTCTAATATTGTTCAGAAATTTGTGAAGCTAAATTTTGTTTCAGGGTATTTTCAGTAATGCAACATGAGCAGGCACAGTGATTCCTCAGTTCAGTGCTTTTTCTGGGATTAACTGCTTGGTCAGCTCTGAATGGGTATTAACATATCATAAATTCCTTGTTGGGTTTTGGTTTTTATTGTAAAATGAATGCAAATGTATCTAGCAAATGCTAATTGTGTGTCTGTCTATGTGGTATAGAACACTATCTGGTTGGCTGAGGAACCTGCTTTTGTTGGTGGTAGAATGAGCTCCATTGTAAAGGAAGCTTTGGAAAGAGAGAATGCCTAACTCAACAGCAAAATCAATCAGTAGGCCCTGAGGAGAACAAACTGTAGGCCAACTCTTGGTGGTGGGAAATTGTTCAAGTCCATTGGGAGTGGGAGGGCAACACTCCTCCATCATCAGTGCTTTGGACTCATGATTGGACCCTTTATCCTCCCCTTGCTCAACATTTAATCCCATCTTCTAAACACCAGTGTGTTTTGTGACACTCTGAAAATGTAGAGAAATAAACCAAATGACTGAGCTGTCATATGAATTGCCTCCATTAAGTCAAATGGATATTGCCCTGCAGTAGTCTGGAGTCAACATTGCTACTATCTTAACTCTATCTTTCTTTTCAAAGGTGCCAAAAACTGAAATCTGCTGGTGTTTTCTCTGCTCTTTGAAATGATCCTGATAAAGTAATTTTTCACGCTTTGTTCTTGTGTTAGCAATTGCTCAGATTCTTCAAAAGTCCTCATGCAAATGCTGGTAAATTAACTCCAGTGGAAACTGTTGAGATCCAGAGTTTTTAAAAACTGACTTTAGTAGTATTCCCAATAACGTGTGTTTGAGCTTTACCCCCAACACTTCATTTTTAATATTAACTTATTATACTGACAGAAATTACTTACATTTTAGTCACATGCTCACCAAGAACCAAGTAAGAGAATTCCATCCTGGAGTGGTCGTCCAATCTGGATGGAAAAGATGGTGATGTGCAGGGTCAAAGTTCCACACACTTTTGCTGTCCATTCCTATGGCCGTCCAACAATATGTCAGTACTGCAAACGGCTACTGAAAGGCCTCTTCCGCCAAGGCATGCAGTGTAAAGGTAGGATTGCTTACATTCCTGGTATAATTCATATATGTTTTTTATACAAGTGTAAAATATCTAAGTTTCAGAAATATTTGCTATAAAAATGGTTCTTACAGTTAGCTTAAAAAGCTGTGAGTGCCATATTACTTTGATCTCCAGTTTTTTATACTGTTAAAAAAAGAAACCATCAAAGCAAGTATATAAGAATTAATGGGACTCGTTCTCCTTTAAATTAATTAATATAAAATCACATGGCTGGTAAGTAGAAAATCTATGCATGCCTTTGATTCTTCATGAAGGAAGAGGAGGAGAGGTGGGACTGCCAGCATGTCTGCATCCCACAAATGACATTAGCTTTACTCCACAAAGAAATTGATCCCTTGGTTGGGTTAAAATACTATTAAATGCCATCAGAAGTGGAGATCAGACTATCATTCAAGCTTGAGTTCTTAGAGGGAGGGAGATACTCTTCTTTGAATGGTTTAAAGAAGTATAATCATATCTGATCTTACCTGTTTAAATGATCTTACCTGATTAAATGAATATTTTTATTCAGATTGCAAATTCAACTGCCACAAACGCTGCGCTTCAAAAGTACCAAGAGACTGCCTTGGCGAGGTTACTTTCAATGGAGGTAAAATTACATATCTTTTATAGCTTTTATAAAAGATAGAAAAGGTCACAACTCTGTGTATTCTCTGGGTAAGGTTGCTCACATATTTTATTATGCTGGCTTTGTTCAAGGTTTTCTTCTGACTTAATGTAAACTAAGCAGAATACAGAGATCAGTGACACCACTCAGTAGTAATTAATGCCTTCCCGTCTTCCCGTGTAAGAACAGCCTTCTGAGGTCATCCTAATAAGTGTCTAAAATACAATTACATTAATTAATTTGTCTAAGAGTTAGGGCTAAGAAATGGCAGAGCTAGAATTTGAACTCTGGCTCTTTGGTCTTTCTCTCAAGTAATCTTCCTCTCAGACATCACAAGTGAAGCCATTACCTGCTTTTGGAATGGGGACAAATGAGTACGTGCTTTAGGCTTCTGACATCAGTTTCCTTTAAGAATTTATATTAGAGATAACAGTAAATGTAAATAAACTTCCAGGAATAGACTAAGGATTGAAAATCCAACTCCTTGAGAATCTAACATTTTCTGCATATTTTCCATGGCTATCACTTGTCTTGGATCTGTTTAGCCTAGTATTAAGTACCATAGGTGGGGTAGTTTATTAACAACAAAAACTAATTGCCCATAGTTCTGAAGGCTTCGAAGTCCAGGGTGCCAGCAGATTCTGAATTTGATGAGAGTCTTACCTCCTGGTTCATGGAAGACGTTATTTAACTCCATGGTAACATTCTGGAATGTGCGAATAAGCTCTTTGGAGCACTAATGCAAATCATAGGCACAGAGCCTTCACAACAGATCGCCTACCAAGGGTCCCACCTCTGAATACCATTACCTCAGAAGGTAGGTTTAATACACAGATTTTGGGGAAAACCTCTCATTTACACCATAGCTAGTTGACATCATTGGTAGAGTATGATTGGTTTTTTTCATGCCTAAAGTCTTGTCTAGCTTTACACATTTTTATGCTTTTCTCCTTTTGATAAATGGATATGAAATATCATATATTCATTTTAATTTGCAGTTATCTGGTTACTTATGAGTTTGAACATCTTTCAAGTGTTCACTGGTTAGTTATATATGCCCCTCCCCGAATTGCCTGTTCAAATGCTTTATTTTTGTGATAATCTGACATAACTAATTTTTTTTTCCATTTATAGATGGCATAATGACTTGGTATTTTGTAGCAGCTTTGCTGAGATCTGTTTGTTTTATAGTTTACCCATTTGATATATTCACAAAGTTATATGGCCATTGCTCTTCTAATGTCAGGAATTTTTATTTCCCCACAAAATTACATAATTTATAGTTTTGTTCAGAATACAGGGATCAATGAATGTTGCTCATTAGTAGTTAGCCTCTGGCAACTAGTAGACAACTTTATACTTTTATGCTTGTCTGTTTTAGAAATTGTGTGTCAATACAGTTATACAATAAATATGTAGTCTGGTGGCTGTTTCCTTTTACTTAGCATAATGTTTTCAGAGTTCAGATATATTGTAACTATGTCAGTTTCTTATGGACAAGTGATGCTGCTCTCAGACAAATGATTGCAGTTTATTTTTTGTAGTTACTAATAAGTAGGTGTTTGAGGTATACCTACTTTGGAGTTGTTTGGGATAATGTTGCTTTGCACACTGTAGTATTACTTCTCTGTGGAAGTGTTTTTTATTTCACTTGGACAGATACCAGATATAGTAGATGGTTGAGGAACTTTGTAACTATGTTTAACATTTTGAAGACCTGCCAGCCTCCCAGAGCCACTGTACAGGCTAATATCCCATCAGCATTTAAATAAATATTTTGTCTTTTATCATTGAATTGAAGACTTTCTTTAAATATTCTGAATACAGCTCCCATATCTGATATTTTTTATATATACTTTCTCAGTGGTAGATCTCTTCCCTAGAATTTGCAAGACCCTGAATTTGACTCCTAGCCCACAAAAAAAAGTAAGAAACAAGCTAAGACTCCATCACCTTGAATCTTAAAGATGCTTTTCTCAAGTTTTAAAACTTTTTTTCCTAGTTCATTTTAAGACTAATCTGATTAGATGCATTGATGCTTCATTGATATTAAACTGCAATTCTTTTAAAACTCTCCTAGAACCTTCCAGTCTGGGAACTGATACAGATATACCCATGGATATTGACAGTAATGATATGAACAGTGACAGCAGTAGGGGCTTGGATGACTCAGAGGAGCCATCCCCACCAGAAGACAAAATGTTTTTCCTGGACCCAACCGATCTTGATGTGGAGAGAGATGAGGAAACTGTTAAAACAATCAGGTAATGTGTTAGACTGCTGCCAAAGGCAAAGGCAGGTCAGCATCTCCATTAAGGGAAGGTGGCATTTCTTTAAATGGAATTTTAAATGCAATTTAAAATCTAATTAAATTGTGGCTAATTCCTTTTTGCATGCACCACAGTATTTCTGAAATAAATTTTATTATCTTTTCCATATACTTGAGATAGAAAGTTCAAGAATCTTTACTTTTTTAAAAAGAAAAGGACTTTGTTTAATGAGTTTGGATAAAATATATAGCTGCGGAGGAGCTTCCTCAAGGTGCCAGTATTAAACCAGTAATTGAAGCAACTTGGTTTCTTCACACATACAGGTTACCAGGTGATCAATGAAGACTACATTTCTGAAATGTTTCCATATACATGCACCAAATTGCATATTTTCTCAGATATAATTTTACTTGGCCTGATTTTACTTACTGCAGTGTTTAATTTTCTTAATACCTATAAGTAATATCCCTTAAGAGTATTTTTTCTATAATATGACATACTGAGTTTGAAATTTGAGCCCAGCGAAGTTGAATAAACATGTTTTGCTTTATGAATTTATTCTTCTGCCTAGGGTAAGAAAATTCCTCAACAGTAAACCCAAATGAACCCCCCAGGCTCCAGGTTACCTGGCCGGAAGATCCTTCTCCACCCATCATCTCCCCCTCCCTCACCCTTTCACATGTGTCCACAGCCTTCCAGAAAAGACCATGACAAACTATTAGTTACAGTATTATAGTAGTGTGATACATTAATTGGGCATCAGTATAACAGACAGGGCTAATTTATTTTCTTTTTAAGTCATTGTCTTATATTTTGAAAAAAATAGTTCAGTTTTCTTTTAAATTTTTGATGAGGCTATAATGAGTGTAAAATAGACATTGAAATATTGATCATAAATTTTAAATATTTTTTAGTCCATCCACAAGCAATAATATCCCACTGATGAGGGTTGTACAGTCCATCAAGCACACAAAGAGGAGGAGCAGCACAATGGTGAAGGAAGGGTGGATGGTCCATTATACCAGCAGGGATAACCTGGTCAGTAATTGCGTTTGAATGTGCTAGCAAAACTTGATGATGGCTTTTACTTTATGCACATCTAAAATTAAGAGTGGAATATATATTAAGACATTATGTACACTACAGCTACTTGTAAAAGTTATAGGATTATCAGAACAATGACTCAAGACATGATTATAGCTAAAGATGGAAAATGATAGAATTGCATTTGAATATCTTTAGTTGTTTTTATGTATATAAACCATATAAACATACATGTTCTCTTTGGATCAGTGTAACAATGAGGAAGAATCGTGAAGTTACAGTAGAACAGCAGAAAAAGGCAGCATAGTGGCTTAGTAAGAACTCTGGCTCTCAGAAGTCTGTCGCTATAATTGTAAACATGGTACAGTTATTTCTTTTTCTTTATGCCTCCATTTCTTTGTCTATAGAGTCTTCATAGTCATGCCTTTTTATAAATCCAAATGAGCTAATGTATACAAGAAGAGTTTAGGACAATGTTTGTAGTCAGTAAATATCGTAGCCGTTAAGACTTGCTGAATATTTTCTAATAAACCTTTTAAGAAGTTAATAATATGAAGTTAGATTGCTGCATGTTTAGACCTCCTCAGGGAAGCTGCTGTGGAGTGAGAGCTGTGTCAGACCTCCTCTCCTCCCCAAGGTTCAGGGACCATTGAGAAAGATGGCCAGAAGGACTGTAAAAGCCACAGTTGGGGAGGGTCTGAGTGAACAGTGTCTTCTGGACATGCTGAATCTGCTGTGCTCATGAATTCTCAGCAGCTGTGGCTGTCTGCACAAGATCAAGCCAGTCACCATTCCAGAGAGGAGGGGCTCATAAGTCCCTGTTCTAGCCAAGGACTTTGGAAGAGGGAGACTTGATCTTCTTTAAGGTTATGGCTCCTAGTAGGTCAACCATGCATCACCGATGGCCCCATACCCAGAAATTTATGGGTGGTACCAATTGAACTCTAGGTAATTTTTTAAAGGAGGGATACAAAGTTGAGGGGTAGAGGTGAGATCTGGGCAGAGATGGGGGATGGGGGTAAGAATGACAAATTCATTGTATGCATCTATAGAATGCTCAAAGAATAAAAATATTTAAAAATATGAAGTGTTTATTATATTTAGGTGGTTTCAGTAAAGTTTTATATGGTAACAGCAGTACAGATTATGGCTGAATATTTTTTATTTGTTTATAATCCATGTTTTAAGGACATGGATTATAATCCTTAAAACATGGATTATAAACATGGAACTTAAAATATATACACACATTTGAGAGTTTAGTGGTGTGTCTGATGATGGGTAATTTAATAAATAGTATTGGGATAACTAAATAGCCATTTCAGGAGGAAAAAGACCATAACATAAATCACACTTCACATGTAGCTAAGCTAAATAGATAAATGGTTCCAAGTTAAACCAGTAGAGGAAACATTAGAAGAGTTATTTTATCAAGAGTCCATATTGGAGAGGGGAGATAATGAACCAATCTCATGAAAGAAATTCTGTGTGGCAACCTGAAAAACAAGACAAATGACAAACTGAAAAAAGTATTCAACTTATACTTTAAATAAGAGCTAATCAAGAATATGTGTGTAGGGGCTGCAGAAATGGTTCAGTGGGTGTAACACTAGCTGGTCTTCAAAAGTCCTAAGTTCAATTCCCAACAACCACAAGGTGGCTCACAACCATCTGTAATGGGATCTGGTGCCCTCTTCTGGCCTACAGGAATACATGTGGACAGAACACTGCATACGTAATAAATGAATAAATCTTAAAAAAAAAAAAAATGGAATGTGGGAGTAAAGCCAACAAATTGATAATAAAAAACCACAGCTCAATAAAAAAAAAGCAAGTTAAAAGGAAAAGAGAAATCACAGAAAGAAATAAAATTACTCTTACACATAAAGTGTGGTTTCATTTATAATAAAAGAAATTTCATAACATAACATTTTTCTTTTTTCTTTTTTTGTACATCAGAGAGCAAAAGTTTTCATAATACAATGCAGTTAGAAAGGGTCTAAGTCAATGGTTCTCAACCTGTGGATCACGACCCTTTGAAGGTCAAACAACCCTTTCACACCTAAGACCATCGGAAAATACATATTTACATTATAATTCATAACAGAAGCAAAGTTAGAGTTATGAAATAACAATAAAATTATTTGTATGGTTGGGGTCATTAGGAAGGTTGAGAACCACTTATCTAAGTTGTCACCCATGTGTTGGAGATACACAACTAAATTAGGTCAAATCATGTAAAATAAAACACTATCAAAACAGCCTCATCTTTTTAATTTTTTTCTATAGTTTTGAGAATTCCATGTATGTATACAGTGAAATATATCGACTCCATTTCTCCCCCATGTTCCCCACCCCAACACATCACTTACCTTCATGCCTTTGTGTGTGCTAACCATTAAGTCAAGTTAATGAGTACTACCCATAAATGCCAGGGTATTTGGCTACCCGTTGGAGTATGTAAACTTACCAGTGTCCACAACCTCAAAAAAGTGAATGATTCTCCTCCTCCCAGCAACTATCCACTGTTAATGAGCCCTCATTAATGGGTAATACCTAAAGATCATCTATTCCACCTAGGCCAGGATTTTGTCTGGCTTGATCTGGTGTAGTTTTGTGCAGGTAACCACAGCTGCTATGAGCATGAGAAGCTATGTCACTCCCTGAAGATGGCATTTCACAGCACTGCTCCCTGTCCTCTGGCTCTTTCTCCTTCCTGTGTGATGTTGCCTGGGCCCTGGTGGTGATGGAGTGAATATCAGTTTAGGACTGAATCTTTTTATTCTCAGCACATTGACCAGTTATATATCTTACCACTAACTGCTGTTCTAGTTTGAATGCAACTCAGGTCTGTCAGCTGGAGCTAGGGAACTACAGAAGTGTAGGTCTGAGCTCTGCCTCCAGTACGCCATTACCTATAGGCACCAGGAGCTGGGTGAACAAGGGTGGCTGGAGTCTGAGAACCCCTTGCCTATTTATGCTTGGAAAGCAGGTGTGTGTGTGTTGTGTGTGTGTGTTTTGGCAATGCCTAGAAATTTAGCATATATGTAAATTGCATAAATCCATGCATATGAATAATAATCCATAGACATGTATGTGCATGTCCATGAAGGGATCCCTCAAAATCTAACAACATAGCTTACTTGGGGAAGAGTAAGGGATGGGTTAAGAGGCCCTGTGGGAGTGACACTTTTCACTAGATTTCCCTTTTATAGTTTGAAGTTTTAAAACCCCATTTTTAAGCCTACTCAAAATAGAGGACTGGATGGTAAAGGAAAAGTGCAAGTGCTTTGGAGGGAATAATTATGAACCCATTTTCTAACTTCTGTTTTTAATAGAGAAAGAGGCATTATTGGAGGCTTGACAGCAAATGTCTAACATTGTTTCAAAATGAATCTGGATCAAAATATTATAAGGTAAGGGTTTTGTATTTTGTAAAATATTAAAATACCATGATAACTGTATCTTGTTTCAATGATGTTTTATATAGTTAACTTTATTTTCATGTGAATGTACTTATGACTGCTTTATATAGTTTACAGCGGTCATTGCTAGATCCTTGTTGAAGCAGCTGCCCTCCACCTCCATTTCACATGTACACACACCAAAAAGAGATGAATTGCTTGTGGTTTTTGGACTAAACGTTAAATAATTGATAGTTGAGGCCAACATATTGACTAGAAGGAATCCTTAAGCAATATTTCTGCCCAGGATTCTCTTTCTGCCATTATTTCTTTCTCAGCTTAAGGGTATTGCTTGCAGAAGAGCAGTCACTAGAGACAGCTGTTGAGTGACACTGACTAATTAAAGTTGGCACGTGTTGGATACGGAGGAAAACTGCCCTCCTAAATGCTTTTCTGCCTGCATATTAATGATCTGCTATATCCCCAAGTTTCTGTGTGTGTATGTGAGCCAACATGCATATGGACCTGTGTATACACAGTGCATATCATATGCAGGTACATAAGCAGGACCAAAGGTGGATGTCAGATGTCTTCCTCTATTATTGCCCACTTTTTTTTTTTTGAAGTATAAGCTTACTTTTGTTGTTGTTGTATAAACAAGTTGTATTCTTTTTTGTTTATTTATCTTAAAGCTGCTGTGTGGTTGCTGGGAATTGAACCCAGGTCCTCTAGAAAAGCATCCAGTACTCTTAACTGCTAAACCATCTTCTCTCCAAGATTTCTTTATTTTTATTTGTATGAGTGTTTTGCCTGAATGTATGAATATGTCTGATGCCCATAGTGACCAGGAGAGGGTATTGGGTCCTCTGGAACTAGAATTACATGTAGATGTGAGCTACCATGTAGATTCTGGGAACTGAACCCAAGTCCTCTGCAAGAGTAGGAAGTTCTCTTAACCACTGAGCCATCTCTAGCCCCTCCACCTTATTTTTTTAAGATAGGGTCTTTCACTAAGCCTGGAGCTCACTGTTTTGGATAGACTAACCGGCCAATGAGCCAGCTCTCTGAGATCCATCTGTCCCTGCCTGTCACCCTCCAGCTCTGGGAATCTGACAGGTTCTCATGCTTGACAGCAAGCACTTTACATATCTCCTGTGCCCTGAGTCTCTAATACTCTGTGATCTGTTTCTAGCATTGCTGGACAATCAAATCATTTAAGATAGACATACCATAATGTAATCAATATGCCGTATACTGTGTTGGTCTTGGTGCCATTCGTAAAAATGCTTATCTTTGATTCTTTAGTATATTTAAAAAGTAAAACAAATATGTATTCATAGTTTTTTCAATGGCTAACTTTTATTGCAGGAAATTCCACTTTCAGAAATTCTCCGCGTATCTTCACCACAAGATTTCACCAGCATTTCACAAGGCAGTAACCCACACTGTTTTGAAATTATCACTGATACGGTGGTGTACTTTGTTGGGGAGAACAATGGGAGCAGCTCTCATAACCCTGTTCTTGCTGCCACTGGAGTTGGACTCGATGTAGCACAGAACTGGGAAAAAGCAATTCGCCAGGCCCTCATGCCTGTAACTCCTCAAGCAAGTGTTTGTACTTCCCCAGGTCCAGGAAAAGACCACAGTAAGTGAAAACACCTTGTTACTCTCTTGTCTTAAGTATTTGTAGAAATACCTGCACGGCTATGCTTTCCTTTCTTTTTTTTTTTTTTTTTTTTTTTTTTTTTTTTTTTTCTTTTCTTTTTTTTTATTTTGCATTTTTAATATTTAAGTTTTGTCTCTGATAGCCAGTGCCATTAGTTAATACTATCATAAAAGTATGCTGGATATCATTCATGTACACATATACATGAATACATAAATGAGTGGTGGCTCCAGTATATATCCACAAGAGTAGCTACAGAATTAGTCTCCTTACATTTAAACTCTGCAACTACCAGCTGCCTGTTGTCTCTCTGATCTGAGACAGGAACTGTTTTACCTTTCTATAATAATAACTACTTTGTAGAGTTATTAATGTTACATGGAGCCAGACGTAAGACAAAGAGCAGTGCTACAGTACTTAGCATCCATGAAGTCTTGTGCGGTTAAGTATTAATATTTTATTTCATGATGGCATATAAACCAGTAATAAAATAATGTGTTTACATTATACACATAAAACCTGTTAAGTCAGAATGATGTTACTTTTAAGTTAATCAAAATAGAAATTAAAAAGATACTGAGGTGACCACAGTGGTACATGTCTTTAATACCAGCACTATGGAAGCAGAGGATCTATGAGTTAGAGGTCAGCCTGGTCTGTATAGCAAGTGAAAAAGAAAGAGGGAAGGAGGGAGGGGTAAGGATTACATCAACACATCTTATAAAAATTAAATCCAAATTTAATGAAGGTTGGATGAATAGCTAATAGTAAGTAAAGTATAATACTGCTTTTACTTATTTGTAATTATATGTATAGGGGATTATAAAGAAACATAATTCATTCATTATATTGAAATAAGTATCAACTTTCCAAATAAAGTTTCTCTCAGTTTACCTATATTATTTTATGCAACTTTTTTGTGCATTGTGTAAGAACTTGAACTAAAACTCAAAAGAGGATAATAAAGGCTTTTTAAGGGAGAAGGCTATATATGGGTGTTAGGCAGTAACTAAATACAGTACAGGACAAAATAAGGAATGCTTCACTATAGAAACTGAGATCTGGGTAAGAAAAGTAGAGGCTTCACAGTAAAAAAATTGATTTGGAATTTGGAATGCAGTCAAGAATAGGCCTGGCAGAGGCAAATGAAGAGGTAGAGAGGATGGTCTTGCTTTCACTGGGGAGACTGGCATCATCAGAAGGTTATAATTGTGTACATCTTCACTGTTCTGTGTGACTTGAGGAAGGATAGATAAATGGATAGTCAATAGTGTTTAACTTCTGGGGAGATTTGGACAAAATTAACAATCAAAACTAAAAATTATTCCCCTAGGAATAGTATCCACACATCCACACACATTTTATTTTTAATTCCAAAGGCTTAGTTAAAAGTCTGTCAGACAGAATTGTAGGTGTTAAGAGTGAAAATCATGGAGAATGTACTCAATGCAGTTGCCTGTTTTGCTATGTTATCTTGGACTCTAGAGCTCTCCATCTAAAGAGGGATGAATAACAAATGCACACAGTACACGGCATAGTGCTTAACACTCAACTGATACTGCTCCTGTTTTGTTGCTCTGGCTCTCTATACTACAACCAGTCTGGAACCTGTACGAAAAACTGGGTGAATTCAGATAGAGGAGGCCATTGAGAGGGAAAAAAATGAGACTAGGAAACAAGCTGCTAGAAAGGCAGTGGCAGGCACGGTAATTCTCTTGATGTACCTTTTCTTGATGGTTGTTTAAAGATCTGAATTTCTTACAGGGTGTGGTGGTACACTCCTTTAATTCTAGCACTCCAGAAGGTAGAAGCAGGTAGATGTCTTTGAGTTCGAGGCCAACATGGTCTTCATAGAGAGTTCCAGGCCAGTCTGGGTTACATAGTGAATCTCTTTAAAAAAAAAAAAAAAAGGAAATGTGAATTTAAATAGCTTTGAATTGGCTTAGTATTTTTAAATAGGGGTTTTCATGTGGTATATGTGTGTATGTTAGTGTATTAGTATATGTACCTGGGCACACCTATTGAGACTAGTAGTGAGGATCAGATCTTTTCTAGTTGTCTGTGCTTATTTCCTTGAGACAATCTCTCACTGAAAAAGGGTTAGCCTTCCCACTGGACTGACTGGCAGCAAGCTCCCACAGTCTCTCTGTCTCTGCTCCTCACAGAGCTGCATAAGGCCACTAGTGGCCTTTCCAAATAGGAGTTGGGGATTGAACTCAGATCTTTACACTTGCACAGCAGATGTCCTTCCCCACTAAGCCATCCCCCATCATTAAGCTGAAGAATTTACTTATATTAGTAATATCTTATTTTTAATGTGTAGAATTATAGAACAAACTTCATATTTTGTTTCTTTGGGTTGTCTAAATGAATTTGATTTCTTGTTTGCATGTTTTCCTTATTACCTTCTTTGTTTACCATAGTAACTCATCAAGATGTAGAAATATGTCATTTGAATTGAGAGAGTCCTCAGGACACTTGAAAGATCCATCCCATCTCAGTCCTGCCCCCGCCCTCAGGAAACTTATCAGTAGCCGTACATTTATTTGAGTGGGGAAGGACTTGGGAGTATGGGAGCCCATAGTAACTAGTACATGGTTTTACTTTTCCTTTTTCAAAAAAATAACATCATATACTTTGGCATCCTTTTCATAAATTTTTTTTACCTGCTCTCTAATGCATGAAAAGGTATATTTCAGTACTACTGTGTAAATTTATATAATTTGAGTTTTTTAATTAAAGTTATGAGAGCCTTAAAAAAATATGCACGGCTATTTTACCTGTGTGTATATCTATGTACTACATATGTGAATGATACCCTTGGAGGCCACAAGAGGGCGTCAGATCCCCTGGGACTGGAGTTACAGATTGTTGTGAGCCACCCTTTGGGTGCTGGGACTCAGAGCCAGGTCCTCTGAAACAACAGCCAATGTTCTTAACCATGGAGCCGTCTCCTGGTGCATGCTTTTTATGTTTTAAAACAATATAAGGGGTACAGAGATATAAATATTACAGTCTTCATCCCCCAGCCTATAGCACTCACTCCCCAGAAGCAGCATTTTTAGTTTAATTCAGACACTGCTACCCTACAACTTGTTTTTTCTACTACTGCTCCTGGTAGTGCTGGTAATTGAACCCAGGGCCTCAAGCTTCACACATAATAGACAAATGTTCTATCACAGAGCCAGGCCAACAACTCCTCTTAATAGGAGATCATAGCTAGTTTTCTGACCCAACAGTTACGCATCTGTATTGTTTATTAAATAATTTAGATTATTATTTTGTGTAGATGTGTCATATTTTATTTACTGAATTTCTTGATGGATTAGTGTGTGTGTGTGTGTGTACATACATAGCTTTTTAGTGAATATATTATCTATATTTGTGTATTTTTTAAGTTTGATGAGCTGTTGATTTTCATGCCAGTAAATAATATTAAGTCATAGGCTAATGATTTTGTTCTTTTCTCATACTTCATTTTTATATTTTACAGAAGATCTGGCTACCAGTATCTCTGTGTCTAACTCTCAGGTCCAGGAGAATGTGGTAAGCAATAATTCTATTCAATATGTGTAGACTTGATAATTAAAATAAGGAAATTAATGTGAAAGTCTTACCAGGATTAAGTCTATGTCCCCAGGTACTGAGCAGTTGCTAAGATACTAAGCTTAACTTAGTAGTGATGCTGTCCCTAAGCTCAACTTTGTAGTAATGCTATCACTGAGCTAAACTTCATAGTGATGCTGTCTCTGAGCTAAACTTCATAGTGATGCTGTCCCTAAGCTTTAAGTGGGAAACTAGGGTCTATTCTTTTTAATAATAAAAATAAGAATTTCTTCACTTAAAAGGTGACATTAGAATGCTACACAGTGATAAGCTCTGTCATTAGGTAAGGTTACTTCATCCTGGTCCACAGAAGCTTCCTAAGAAGAAGTATAACCTGAGCTTCACTCAGAGGGTGAAATGGGATTTAGCACAGTCTTGACTTGAGGGAGTGAGCCGGGGGTCATTCATGCACATACAGGACCAGAAGGAGCAAATGGAAGGAGGCAGGAAAAGGAGGACCTTCAGTGAGTAGATTAAGTTTGACTTTTGTGTGTAATCATATACCTTCTGTTGGTGTATGGCAACTTTTTTCTGTAAAGGACCAGATAGATATTAAACAATAACATGGTGGAGTCTACCCAACTTGTCCACTGTATCAAATACCTACACAGGAATGAGTATGAATGTTTTAATAAATGTGTGGCCACTAAAATATGAATCTCATGTAATAGTTACATATCAAAAATTATTTGATTTGTCCAGTCATTTTAAAAACTTAACCATGAATTAAGCCATAGAGAAAGAGCCAGGAGCCGTACTTTGCCACCTCTTGGGTCAGATTGAAAGAAACAAAGAAAGTTGCTTATATTCATCTTTTACCAGTCATACCCATAATGCAGTTCTGGTACAACACACTTCAAGTTAGTGTTTGAATGTTCTGATAGCAGCAAACAGTAACTAAAATAATAATAATGATAATAATAAAGAAAAGGGAGGGAGGAGCATTACATGAATTTATGTTACAATTCCACACTTATCTCAATCCCAGTGTAAATTTAGGGGTTGATTTTTGGATATGGGTCTAGGTGCACATGTATATGTAAAGGCCAGGGCAAAACCAGGCATTGTTCAGTCCAGCAGCTTCCACGGTGTGTGTTTTCACAAGCTTGCGTGTAACTGATTACTTTAGGCAAAATGATTGACCAGCAATCTCTAGGGATCATTATAGAAAACTTTTGCTTTAACATAAAAATTAAAATGTGTTTCAGTATTTGAGTCAGAGACATTGGTGGTGTTTGCTTACTTCCTTGATAGGACATCAGCAGCGTTTACCAGATCTTTGCAGATGAGGTGCTTGGTTCTGGTCAGTTTGGCATTGTTTATGGAGGTAAGAAATTAAAGCCTTTTATATACATAGTTTGTAAACTGTAAGATTTTAAGGTAGCTTTTATTCTCTAGCTCACAGTTTTGTTAAGCTCCCTTTTCCTCAAAGGCTGGTGTGCATCCTCTTAACTAAACTTCGTAAAACTCTTAAAGTGACAGAATCAGGAAATTATTTTTACAATAGTCTTTACATCTTCTTGAAATTCATACATAAAGATATGTTGGTGTTGGGTTGTGTGGACTGTTGACTGAAGTATGTTCCTCACTAGTTCCCAATACGATGGTAGCAGTCATTTCTGTTGACATGAATATTCTGTCAGGTCTGAATACCTGAACTCTTATTCTGCTCTGTGATTACAGATGCTAATGAAACCATTTAACCTCTGTGTGTCTCAGTATCTTGACATCTTTTTTGGTGAAGCTAGTAAACAGAATTGCACTGCTTATGGACTTACTGGGATTAATTAAAACTAATGTGTACATGAAAGTGCTCCATAAACCATCTTTCAAGGTAGCATGTCAAGCACCCCTTGCTTCCTCCTTCAGTCAGACCCTCCTTTCACACCACTCTTGGAGTAACCTTTCAGAAAATCAGCATCTGCTATTAGCATTAGTACCTGCAGAAGCCCTCTTTTCATGTCCGTTGTTCTTAAGAGTGTACAAGCTGTTATGTCCTCTTCTTGCCAGTGTGACCTCCATTCTACTTTTATTTCTTCTGGTCATACTCACATGTCTCCATACTTTACCTCTGCATCTTCTCCACCCTGTGTTCCTCTGGTGAACATTTATTTGTTTTCTGGCTCATCTGAGGGGCTTCCTCTGATGTGTTTTCTCTCCATCCCTTCTCTCCACTGAATAAATGCTTCCTCAGAGCTCCTGCCACATAATGGGCATCCTCCTGCCATGGTGCCTGCAAAACTTTGGGTTTCTCTCATCTTGCTACTGAACTGTGAGGCTAGCTTTAGAGATGTTTGTGCTTTCCTTGTAGTCCTAGGATCTGCCATTAAGTTTCATGCAGAAAATGTGTGGGTTTTACACATGGTACAACATTGTAGTTTGCAACCTCAAATTTGTCTGTTTTAGACTGGAAGACCTCACTGAGATGAGAAAATCGTCTGAAGTACTGGTGGCATCTTACCAAACATGCCCTGTTTGTCTAGTCTTTAAATCAAGCATATTTTTTAGGGCTATGTCCTTGAAACAGTTGTGAGTAATTTTCAAGTTAATAGATTAGTAGAGAAAAGTCTAATGTGTGTTAACTGGAGCTAATAAATAAATGTTTTTACCTCTTAAATTGTAGCATTTAAACAGTGACCCCACTTAATAGATTCCTTTCAACTAATGAATGACATGCTGTTGCATACTTATTTTATACCTAGAATGTAAAGATCTGGAGTTTAAGGTTATAACATAGTTAGTCACTCTGCTGACTTAGTGAACCTAAAATAAAATACAATATTTTCTTCTTGACAGTCTCTAAAGACTTAAACTGTCATTTATTTAACATGGTCTATCACTTCTCAGCAAGCAAGTTCACAAAGAGGTTATGCCACTTCAGGTCATGAAATTGACTTTGTTGTAGGGCAGTACTATAGAGGAAAGTGTCTCATTTCTTAAGACTGTGGAAAAGAAAATGAACAGTAGAAAATGCAAATTAACACATAAAGTTTCCATCTGACAACTTCCTTGTGAGGCTTTTCTGTTATGTTATAGCTGCCATCGCTATTGTTTGATTTCTTTTATGTTCTGTAACAGGAAAACACAGAAAGACTGGAAGGGACGTGGCTATTAAAGTAATTGATAAGATGAGATTCCCCACAAAGCAAGAGAGTCAACTCCGGAATGAAGTGGCGATTTTACAGGTTAAAAAAAAAAAAAAAAAAAAAAATTAAAATGGCTTACATAGGTTTGAATTTTGATTTCTGAGTATTTAAGATGGTACAGATAAAGATAGGTTTGGAATTTGGTTTTGACCTTTTGAATCCTGAACAGTACAGGTCCTTTTTAAAAAAGATTACAATGTTTAAAAGTTGAAAGGGGCTGCTATTATTTTATTCTGTAATACTAGTTTGATTAAAACTTTTTTTTCTCTGAGTGAAATCTCAATGATAAAGGAAATATCCAGTCTTAATTCATTAAGGGATACTGGTATTTCTGCTGTGATTTTATCATGTCACAATTTTATTCATCAAATTCTCAGAAATGACATGAATATGCTAATTACCATAAAAATAAGCACTGGTTTAAAAAGTGTACCTTTTAACAGTAATATGTTGTTCTATTAATTCAAAGTTATATTTTAGCTTATTTGGGATTCTTGTTGTTTTGATGTCTCACACTCATGGCGACCCTCCAGCTTATATCTCCTGAGTGCTGGATTGCAGATGTGCACTACCATGCTGAACTTACTGAAATAGATTTTAAAAACATGTTAGCAAGAGTATAAATCATATAAAATATTGTGTTTTTCCTCTTGACCTCATGCTTTTTATCTCCTTTGGGAGTTATCTAGCAGATAAAATTTAGCTTGATTATTGTATCTTCTGAATATTGTGAGCAATAATAATAATATTCAAATACCCATTAGTTAGTTCATTGTGTGGCTTTTAAATGTTATTTGGGAAATATCCATGTAATAATTAGTGCTCTCAGCCCTCCTTCTGCTTCTGTGTGAAGATAGTCAGTTGCACTTAGGTTTCTTTGAAGGAGAAGCAGATGACCTATGGTACATTTCTGACATTATTATCACTGGTAAGTAACAATTCACTTCATGTTTTCAGAGAAATGATAATCAAAGGTTCTGGGCCATCGCTACCTAAGCTCATCTGAAGCCCTGCTTCCAACAATGCTAACTTGAGGTTGAATATTAGCAGCATTTGCATAGGCTCTGTGAAAGTGTGTCCATAATGTCTTTTCACATTTAACTTTGAAATTTTGGTGTTCAACTAAAACAATGCAAAACAATAAAAATAAGGATCTAAGGATTGGTTTCTCTTTGACTTTGATCACAGACAGTCCTAGACTAAATACTTAATTTTCAGTTATTACACACAGTGAATTCTGGTTGTTTATACCAATGTTACATATTAGATGATTTTAGCAGACACACTCCTTTCATATAAACTTCTTTATCTGGGGTAGTGTGTGTGTGTGTGTGTGTGTGTGTGTGTGTGTGTATCCAAAATTGTGGGTTTAGATTTCTCTTGGCAATGTGTAAACTTAACAAAATCATATGTACATATAGTTTAAAAGTGAACTTTAATATTCTTTGAATGTGAGATAAAGTATAATGTGAACTTCTACCATAAATACTTTGTAAAACAAAATTGTCAACTCAGACCTTACTTACTGAAATTGGTTTTATAATATTTAGTCAGTGAGTATTCCACATAAACTTTTCACATGGATTGAAGGAAACCCTGTTATAAATTATACCCTACCTACCCTTCCACATGTTCTCTGTGATACACACACACACTAAAATAAATGTTTATAAAAAGACTAAGGAAGGCAGAAGAAATTTATAAAGATTAAAAATGGGATTAATAAAGAAAATAATACAGTAAATATAGGTGTCAGTTCTGTATGTAGGAGGTCAAAGGATGTGTAAAGTAGACAATCTAAGCTATTTATTTAAAATACAAAGACATCTTGTTGGAAAGAAGACATAACAAAAGACAGTGAAAACAGTCCCTCTCTTCCCGGTATATACAATTGGGGAAAATACCTATAATTCTCTTAGTTTTTATTTTATATGCTTTTAGTTTACTTTCTAAGTTTTTTATTCATTATTATTGTATACATACATGCAAATGTATAAATACAATCTGCTGGTTCCATTTGCATGTGTATATATGTGTATGTATATGTATGTGTGCTTAGGGCTCACTGCTTGAGGATGATTCTCCCTCTCTCGGCACTTACTATGTTTGTATAGCTCTTCATTTAGGGATAGGGCCTTCTGAGATTCCTCCCATCTGTGTTGGCATGTCACCCGGTGGTAACATTTTGCAGGTCTTGTTTAGACAACCATATTATTGAAATTCCATGGATGTAGCTTCCCTGTCATGTATAGAAGAAACTATCTTGCAACAGGCTTGCGGGTCTTCTGGCCTTCCCACAATGTTCTGAGCCTTCAGTAAAGGTTGTGGGTGTGTCGTTTGGATACCATATGGTCTCTGCATTTGGACCAGTTTTGCTTTTCTGTAATGGTCTCCATCTAATGCCAAAAGAAGGTTCTGTTTTGTATATTCATATAGTCATCACAGCATTTTAGGTGGATTTGTGATAAGATTATTCTCTGCTAAAGATGATCACCCTGCCACTTCTCTTCAGAATCTGCACCACCCAGGGATTGTAAATCTGGAGTGTATGTTTGAAACCCCTGAACGAGTCTTTGTAGTGATGGAAAAACTTCATGGAGATATGTTGGAAATGATTCTGTCCAGTGAAAAAAGTCGACTCCCAGAACGAATTACTAAATTCATGGTCACACAGGTATTTTAACTTTACCTTGAAACCGGTAAAACTAAGAGAATTAAATGACACCATGTTTATGTGTTGGGAAATTAAAGATCGGTAGTCTTTTTTTTTTATTGTTATTATTTTTTCTTATTTTATATGTCGATCCCAGTTTCCTCTTCCTCCCTAAGATCAGTAGTCTTAATAAAAGTAAAACAGTAATACTTTTAGCTACATCTTGATTAAATATAGTGGAGTTTTGAAATTATCTTACAATTCAAGGAGTCATATTGGAGCTTAGCTGATTTTCTAGGCATTAAAAAGAAGCCCTTTACAGGGGTAGAATCACTTTTAAATTTTATTTGTGTGTGCTTTGCCTGTATGTATGTATGTATGTATGTATGTATTTACGCATGCATGCATGCATACTGTGTATGTGTGATGTCTTTGGAGGTCAGAAGAGTGCATCACATCACGTGGAAATGGAGTTACAAACGGGGGCTGAATTGTAGATCCTGGGAACTGAACCTGAGTCCTCTGCATGAGCAACTTGTACTCTTCACGTTTATGCTGTCTCTCCCATTCTTGGGTTAGCATAGAAAGTATTGAGTTTCATTGTGGCATTTTCATACCTGCTTGTCATTATACTTTGCTTTCATTTGCTCCTCTCAAACGCTTTTCTAACAGATACTTGTTGCCTTGAGGAATCTACATTTTAAGAACATTGTGCACTGTGATTTAAAACCTGAAAACGTGCTGCTTGCATCTGCAGAGCCATTTCCTCAGGTGAGACATTCTCCAGAACCTGATTAAGAACTGTTCTGAGTTAGTGACATTTACAGAGTACCCTCCTAATACAAAACAGAGCTTAAACACATGCCATTATAGTCTATAATTGCCAGCTTGAATCTGTATCTGAACCATTTCAATTCGGACTTGACTATTGTACTGCTGTTTCCCAGTAAATCATTTTTTAGACATAAATAGGTCTCAAGAAATAAACTCTTGGGTTTGGGGTTTTCTGGGGTTGGGGGGTGTTCTAATTGTATGTAAATAGTTCACAATGACACACTTAAGATCTGTACTCTCTAAATATCTGAATAAAAGAGTCACCAAATTCAGTTATGACACAGTGTTACTCATGAGACATGTATCATATAACATATACTAGAGACAGCAAGCAGCATTTGAATATGCCTCCACCTCCATTCTCCAGTTTCTGTTTGCACTATGGTTTTATAGACAACAAATCCTTTTCTCGCAGTTTATAGTAATACTTTTCCTCTGGGAAGTACTTGGCACTTGCCTGTTTGGCATAGCTGCATTATTTATAGTCAGATTCTAACATAATCTAAAATGCTACAACAAGTTAAGTGTCCTGGGCTTACCAAGCCCATCATACTTTCAGAACACTTCCTGAGGAGAACATGGTAACCTTGTGCAACTCTGAACCAGCTGGAGTACCTAGTTCATCAGCATAGAGAGCACTTACTTCTCAGAGGCTTTCTACTGTTCACGTTGTCATGTGCAAGCCTTGTTTGACTTACTGTGGATATGCTTGGCAACAGATTATTCTGAGACTGTAGTTCTCAGCCTTCCTAATGGTGCAACTTTAATGCAGTTCTTCCTGTGGTGACCCCCATGAAATTATTTTTGTTGCTATTTCATAACTGTAATTTTGCCGCTGTTATGAGTCATAATTAAATATCTGACACACAGATGGCCTTGGGCAACTCCTTTGAAAGGGTCATTTGACTACCCCCCAAGGGGCTACAACCCACAGGTTGAGAACCAGTGTTCTAAGATTCAGCAAAATAAAGAATGTTTCAAAATACTGTACCTTTTTGTTTTTTTTAAGACAGAGTTTCTCTGTGTAGCTTTGGAGCCTGTCCTGGCACTCACTCTGTAGGTCAGGCTGGCCTCAAACTAAAGGAAATCCATCTGCCTCTGCCTCCCAAGTGCTAGGATTAAAGGCCTCCACCACCACCGCCAGCCTGTTATCTTATTTTTCATGTAGCAAAGCATTTATTGAGTACTTCCGTATGCCCAGACACTGAGAGACCACTGAGGACTTAAAACTCAAACGTAATTCCTACTTCTAGAAAATAGAAAAGGGATTCCCTCACAAATGAAGGAAGATTAGCCCCCTTCATCCATCTCATCTAAACAACAAAACTTAGTGCTTGATCTATGAGTCTGGAAGTTCAAATTGTTTTTAAAATAAGTACTCGGAAAGCTCTTCATTCTACTGTAGTACCAAGAGTTGTAAATGTTATCTGTCTGCTCTGAGGAAATGGTATTTGAGTTTCCCTGCCCATATCTGGTTTGTGTATAGTTAGTTATTATGTTTGGGTAAGTACATTGAGAATATCTAGGAACAGATATTAATAGGTAAATTGACAAGCGTTTACACATTCAATTTCCAGGTAAAGCTGTGTGACTTTGGGTTTGCACGCATTATTGGTGAGAAGTCATTCCGGCGATCAGTGGTGGGAACTCCAGCCTACTTAGCCCCCGAGGTTCTCAGGAGCAAAGGCTACAACCGTTCCCTAGACATGTGGTCAGTAGGAGTTATCGTCTATGTGAGCCTCAGCGGCACATTTCCCTTCAATGAAGATGAAGATATAAATGACCAAATCCAAAATGCTGCATTTATGTACCCACCAAATCCATGGCGAGAAATCTCCAGTGAAGGTAAAAAAAGCAACAAGTTTCAGGTTTGAACCTGAAATCACTGATTAGTCTATCTCTTCATCCCTAATCCGTTACCAGTCTCCGAGTATTCTGCTTGTATTTATTATAATTATTATTATTGACTTGTTATTTTTGAGATAGTCTTTTTTAGTAGCTTTTGTAACTGTAGTTCATTGTTTCAGTCCTTGTCTCTCAGGGAGCTTCATGCTATAGTTTTCCTGACTGGTGAAGGCTTTTTCGTTTGTCATGCCTGCTATACATGTCAAGAATAAGTCAAGGCTGTTGGTGTACACAAGAAATCTCAATATGGTGCAGGTTTCAGAAGGTGCAGGGAGAGGCAGTTTTTTGATGGAGTATGCCATCCTTAGGAACAGTCCCCTCATAGGTAGTAGAAGTAGTGTTAAAGAGTGTCCCCACCCTTTAGCCAGCCATTGAATGAATAGGTCTTTTTTACCTTTCCAAACATACTGGGCCAGTTTGGTAAATATGCCACCAAACTGCAAAGGCTGAAGAGAACAACAGAAAAGACAGCAGCCTGCCAGGTTCACACTGTAACAAAAAAAGCTGAAGTCCACTAGGAGGTTTTCATGTTCCAAGCTTTCTCAGAGTTCTAAAGGCAATGGTGGCCCACAGACCTCTCCTGTCCTTCACTTGGCCATATCCTAGATTCTGACTCAGCAGGTGAAATGAAACAGTTCCTGAAATTGATGCAGATAGTGAACACAGTTGACAGGATAGACAATATGGAAGTAATGAAGTACTTAGGGAAAACCTTTGCAAGTTGGGACTAGTTTTCTTATCACTATTCCAAACACATCATTATATAGGCTGTGATTGATGTGTAGTTTTATAGTTGTCTTGATTTTGTAGTGGTCCAGTTTCTCCAAATAACTGAGTAAAATGTGTTAAGTTTTCCCCATCAATACCAAATCACCCCTATCCTGTTTGCTAAACCCTATGGTGTGAACTTTTGTTATTGTTGTCTCTTCATTCTCACTGCATCTGTAGAAATAAGAGTGACTTCTGCCACTGTTTCAGGCTGGTCAGGAACAGAGAACATTGTGGCTTCATTGGAAAAGAAAAGATCATCTGGAATCAGTCTGTTTAGTTCATCTTCAAATAATAGTGATGGATATTTAGCACCTGTGTGCAAAACACATCCTGTTGGGCCGATTTCATCTTCTCAACAGTTTCACTGTGCAGATGGGGAAATGAAGGCACAGGGTAGTTTAGAAATAGACCATGTCACACTGGTTCACGTGAGCCTACCCATCCAGCTTCAATGTATTTGTGTAACCTATATCTGCTCTGCATCCTTCACAGAAGAAGCCAGCATCCGTACTCAATACGGGAATCATTTATGGGCACTTCTGCATGTTAAATCCTATTCACTAGAAAAGCAAACATTTCTCCATGCCCTATTTACACAAATCAAACTGCTCTCCTGCCGATAGAATCCCAGGTTTGAGTTCAGTACCCCTAAACTCATACATCTAATTTTTCCTTTTCCCCCAGCAATTGATTTGATAAACAACTTGCTTCAAGTGAAGATGAGAAAACGTTTCAGTGTTGACAAATCTCTCAGTCACCCTTGGCTACAGGTAAAGAGATTCTGCATTTTAGCCTCCTGTGAATTTGTCTTTGCTAAGGAAGCCACTCAAAGAGCAGCAGGTTCAGCACATTTTTTGGGATAATCTAGGCCCTCTGTAGTCAATATCTGTGCTATGGCTCGGGCCTCTGTTGGACAGCCTACAATTCAAGACAATGTAGATAGGTGTTAAATACCCATGAACTGAGACAATGACTTTTTTTTTTTAATATTTATTTGTTTGCTTTATGTATATGATGTGCTTTATTTTCATCCATACCAGAAGAGGGTACCAGATCTCATTACGGATAGTTGAGAGCCACCATGTGGTTGCTGGGAATTGAACTCATGACTTATGGAAGAGCAGGCAGTGCTCTTAACCTCTGAGCCATTTCTCCAACCAGACAGTGACCCTTTTATAAGAACTTAGCTATTCATGTCTTGTCTTCTTTTTTTCTTTTCTTTTGTAATGTTAGCATGGCATACTATTCAGTATATTTTACTTTAAACATCCACTAGAAGGTTTGTGTTTGGCTTGATTCCACCATGAGTTATTTCGGAGATTTGGCTCAAGACAGAAATCCACACTTGAGAGTAAGCTGAGAAGCTGTACAACTAATTATAAGAAACGGAGTAGAATTAACATTAAATAAATGGGCTCACTGATCAGTAAGTTACTCTGATAATAGATTCAGCACTTTCCCATATTGAACAGCAAGAGATATGGCTCTAGCAGTAGAGAACAAATGTCTTCATGATGATTACTGTTAGCTAGGTCAAAAGCCTAAGAGAATTGTGCAGAAACTAGTTCCTTTCCTTTATAGAGACATTAGATTTTAAGATTTACATTAACATTGCTAATGTAAAATACAATTCAAATTTAGGAAAGGAGTTGTCAGTTGAGATTGTAAACAAGATAGGATAGGATATTATGTCTATTTTATGGTTCATAATCATTTTCTTTTCTAGGATTATCAGACTTGGCTTGACCTCAGAGAATTTGAAACTCGCATTGGAGAACGTTATATTACACATGAAAGTGATGACGCACGCTGGGAAATACATGCATACACACACAACCTCGAATACCCAAAGCATTTCATTATGGCCCCCAACCCAGATGATATGGAAGAGGATCCTTGATCACCAGTGAGGAAAGATTCTCTGCTGCATGATTGTCACTCTCTGCAGGCTTGTCATTGCAAGGAGGGAGAGTCATGAGGACACAGAGCAACTGTGGCACCAATACTATAGTTCATAACGAGTAGGTACATGACAGGAAACTGAATAATAAAATCATGTAATGAAATCAGAACGGAACTTGTTAGAAATGTTTATAGAAGCAATAACTGGTTCTGTAATTGTCCTTACTCCATCACATTAGCACAATGTGAATTAGCACATAATTTATCTCTCCTTTGCTGTTATTACATCATTTTTTTTAAAAGCCTATGACTGTCTAGATATTGCCCATGAGGTTGGTTACTCAACAGGTTTGTAGTTAAGCAGTAACTCTGAGGCTAACAATATATGGTTTGCTGTAAGGACTTTTAATATTTGTCTATTGTTGGAGGAAGATACTGATTCTTTCTGGATCCCTATAAATGCAACACTGTACTGCTAACCTTTTGGAGGCTATGTCTTTAAATATGGTCTGTATGACAAAAATTATCCCCTTTTCTCTGTTGCAGTAGCCACTAGGATAATTGGACAGTTGGGTGTTACAAAATGAATAGATATAGCTGGTCATCACGGTGCAAGCTGTATGCCAACAGCCAGTAGGCACAGCTCTACATTCAACAATGTAATTAGTCCTCACATGGGGTTGGATAATTTATAGACAAATACACACTAAAGGGAAAGCTAATACAGTGTCAGTAAATGCAACTCCACAGCAAGCAGTATCTTCTCTTTTTCCCATAGCCTTTGGATGGGATCTGTGAATATCTAGAATTTTTTAAATTAGCATTTTATTTTGAGCAGTTAGGGGGAGTTGGTTGAAGTCAAACATGAAAGTTCAGTTTATCAGGGTGGAACCATGTTACCAGCACAGCAGATGAAGAAAGAATAAGAATTTCTTACACTTCAGCTCTAGGAGTCAGCTGTTTTTGTAGTAGTTAATATGGTTCAGTATCCCTAATCTGAACAGTTGAACACCAGAAGGGTTTCATCTTTCCAGATCTGTGTACTCCACTGCCTGAGCATCCCTAATTTATAAATCTGAAATCCTCTAAAATCTAAATTTGAGTTCTGAGGCACCTTCCGAGTTTCACATTAGTGATGTTCCAGTTTGTGCTTTAACCCAAAGAAAAGGATCCTCTTGAAGGAAGTACAGTAGCTATTCCTCACTAGTCACCAAGAATATGTTTTTATTGTTGTTCCTTTTCTGTGCTAAGAGCTAAGACTTGGAGTCTGAGAACCTGGATATGAGTCTTAGCATATTTTTTTAATCTGTTGGGTTGGGCAGGAGACAGTTTGTGTACGCATTTAGCTTCTCAGTCTGTAGAATGGAGAATGTATAAATTGCTGCCTCTGCCTTCCTGGTTTGGCTGTGAAGATGGGAATGTCAGTGTTGATAGTTACCACTGAGTCTGAGGTAGCAAAGGAGAAACGGTCTTGTGTGAGCAAACCAAGACTGAGAGTGCCTTCGCAGGTGACAAAGCAGCCATGGAATCTACCAAGAGTTAAAAACACCCTTGAAGAAACATTATAGGCTGCCCCTGTGTTGTAAGTTTTTATGCTTTAAATTATTCTCACAATTGCCACATAACTACAAACATTTAAAGAAGTTGAGGCACAAGGTTAGCTGCTAAAGTTCATAGAAATTGAATATGGATTTGAACCCAGGCCTGTGTCCCAAGTCCCTTTTAACTATCCCAGCCATTGATAATATACTGTATATCTGTATCTCCAGGAGACTTTGCACATCTCTCTGTAATTGTTTTCATACAGCAGTTGTGAAGAATAATTTTAAGAAACTTCTATGAATGGATTTTCCCTATGATAGGTGATGACTTCCCTCCATTTTATGAAAGGTCTGCTTGGCCAACATGTACAAGATGGAATGATTTCTCATCACTCTGCAGTCCACTGTGGCTTTACTGTGTGAGGTGGAAACTCAGCGGAGTGACTGTTCATTTGCTGTACTGCTATACTCAGGCTTTACAAGCCATGAAATTAATTGCACTCTGTTTTTGTTGAAGGCCTGTGCTGTCTAAAGAGAAAGAGACTGTCAAGGCACTGTCAGATAGTCTGGCGTTAAGTAACTACTCCACTGTTTAAACTGCATAACTTTTTGTCTTTGTCTTAAAGCCAAGTTGTGTTTGCATAAAATGTAATTGTTTCCTAGAAACATGTGATAATTTTCAAAGTAGTGTATAATGACACTGTTTCATACATTTTATATTTTTTGTTACATCCCACTTTTTGTAAATATTCTCAAAACTTGATAATAAAATGTATTTCTATATCATCATACTTTCCTATGTGAAAACCTTAGCCAATCTCTAGTAGAAGTTTCCCAAAAGTTCTATTTGGTTGTAATATTTTCCCTGGGCCTGGATAATAGAACAGTTTTGGAAATAGAGCTAATGCTATCTGAGCACTGATTATATCTACACCCCACAAAGAAAACCTTTCAAAAAGGCATTTCAGTTGTGTACTGCATTTGAGATAATTATCTAGAGGTTTCATTTATTGGGATGCAAGTGTGAAGAAGAATGGTAATCAAAATTTTTCAGTAACTACTCCAGATATTCAACTATTACAACTACCAGAAAACTTAGAAAAATTAAATGTCTAATATAAAAAATAAATTTCTAGAATTTTATAAGGTAAAAGAAATAGAGATGAGATACAAGGCACTACCAGACTCTTCCCTCTTAATTACAAAAACCAAAAACAATTATGTATTTGGAAGGATCCTACTGGGTATTTTCATCTTTCAAAGGTTTTACTCTAGTCCTTGAAAACATACAACAAAAAAAACAGTGGCTATAGGAATAGAATAATAGAGCAATTAGGAATAGCCTAAGGCTGCACAGCATCTAAAAAAAACTAGGGCTAGGAAGATGGCTCAGAAGGTAAAATGCCAGCTGCTCCCCAGCAAACACAAAGCCAGACATGACAGCATGTCTGTAACCCCAGTAAGACATTGCTAGAGAAGGGCAGAGGCAAGCAATTTTGGGGCAAATTAAGGAGCTATCAGTTCAGAGAGAGAGAGAGAAAGAGAGAGAGAGAGATGCAGTCTAAAAAACTAAGGTGGGGGGCAATGGAGAAAAAGGCACTGTCTATCAGCCTCCACAAAATGTGATCACAGGGTACCTACTAAAACTAGTGCTGTGGCTGAAATGTGCATGTACCACACACACCAATTAAATAAAGCCTCATACATTTCTTTTTTTTTTATAGACTAAGACACAGAACATTAACACCATTCTCAGTTAAGCAGCAGGGGGGAAAAAGTGACCCACCTACCACTCTGCCAGTGAATTTCCAATGCAGTTAAACCATAAGGTCAAAAATTACTAATACTGATTACCGCTGGCCTCAGAGTTGTGCTGCAGATAAATACTTCCCAAGAAAACCCATTTACAATATTAATATAAAACTTCTACAGATCAAAACAATGACAACTTACTATAGAACTAAAATTTTACATTTATCTAAGAATACAGCAGAATGAACTCAGCTTAGGAAATTATTCCTGGATAGTTTATATTGCTCTTAAACTCTCATTTCAGTGCAAGTCAGAGTTGCCACAGGGATTTCTTTTTTCTTTTTTTTTTTTAAACTATGACTTTTATTATATCATTAAAACTTTAGTATCAGTCTTTACTTGAATCCACAAAATCTGTAAACCTTCTGATTCCTGTATCCAGATTGGGGAATTTATTGCTGATTCCCTACAAGTTCTTCTGTCCTTCATTTTTTTCTGCTTATGCACACCACGGAACAGAAAACTAAGTCATACTCTTATATTCACTGAATTGTCTCCTTCAGCAAAACCAGGATCAGAAACTCTGTCTGACTTCTTCCATTTACTGAATCTTAGAGATCCTTCTTCAGAATATATGGCTTTTCCCTCTTTTGAAAGTTTTGTCCAGAGCTGTTGACTCAGATCCCTGGAAATAGCCATTTACCTTACTTCCAGTTTCCAACAAGCCAAACAGTGCTCATCAGTGTTTTTAAAAAGTAAATAGAAAACAGCAACCAGCCTGATTAAAGGATGTCAAAATAAACTACTTCACTAGGTTGCAAATAGTTGTACCAAGAGTTAGTTATAACCTTTAACGTTCAACCATTTTGATTGTATTTATGTAAAAGGGTCTGTTTTATTGACTACAAAGAGATAGTTTGAACATTGACATTACCTTCTGATGGGAGATGTCATTCTGTATGTTTCTCGTACTGGTTAATAATAAAGCACTGTTGGCCAATAGGAAAGGAAGATAGGAGGGACTAGGAGACAAGGAGGAAATAGGAAGTAGTAAGGAGAGTCAAGATGGAGAGTCTGGAGAAAGCAGTATGCCGCCGGCTCCCCGGTAAGAGAAATACATAGATCAGCAGAAATGGGTTAATAATTAAGACAGAGCTAGCCGATAAGAAACAAGTAACTGGGCCAACAGTATTGTATCATATACAGAGTCTCTGTGTATTATTTGGGGCTGGCGGCGTGGCTGCTGGACAAGACCAGCGGCGGCAGGCAGAAAAACAGAACGCCTAACAAATGGCGCCCACGTGGTTAATAAGAACTTCCACTTAAAATTTAACAAAAGCTTAAAAAAGGGTTTTAGAAGCAACAGAACAGAGACAAGCAAGGTTTCTTGGTATCAGCATTTTTCTCAGTTGAACTCTGCTTTGCTAGAGACAAACAGACATGCTTTCTGGGTGGCAGCGCAGACCAAGGCGGTGAGCACAGCTTTCCGTGCTGGTGGGTAAAAGTACCCGCCACCATCTTTGGTAAACCGCGGCTGACACAGCTATGACTTTCATTTTAACAATGTTGTTGTTTAACAGATAAAGACTCATGGCCAGAAAAAGATAAAGATTTACAGTAAAGACAGAGTCATATTAAGAAAAACCTCTAAAGGTTTACAGTGTTTTAAAATATATGTAGGCTTGGGAGAAAAAAAAAAATAAAATGGTTTTTAAGAGACAAAGAGGAACTGGGTGTGGTGGCACACACCTTTAATCCCAGCACTTGGGAGACAGAGGCAAGCAGATCTCTGTGATTTCAAAGTAAACCTGGTATGCAGAGTGAATTCCAGGACAGATAAGAGTTACATAGAGAAACTCTGTCTCAAAAAATAAAAAGTAAAATAAACAGAGTAATAATAAAGCCACGTAAAGATGAAAAGCTCAGAGAGAATCTGGTTACTGTATGCTATTGTGTTGTCTCTACATTGTTTGACTGCTGAGAAAATAACAACAACTGATAAAGGAAATGCTGCTAGATTAATTCAATTTATATATTTTAAAAATGCTTTGACTCCAACATTTAAGTTCAAGGACAAGTTACTGGGGAAAAGGATTTCTATTTTTGTTTCCACAGAAAATGAAAAGCTATGGATTCCTTCCAGACTAATGTGGTTTGATCAAGCCAGGCCCCCTGAAACAGTCGCTGATGATCCAACATTCAAAACAGCTTGGACAAAGCAGCCTCAAAGACTACAGCCAAGATTTCTGCAACTTCTCAGGATCCCCCATGACAGCGCCCCCTATCAGCAGAAAGTAGTTTGGAAAGAACGACGCCCAAATTCCCAAATATTGTTTATAAATGTTTGGTTTCATTTAAATGTACTTGGTTATAAATGGGTAGTGATCACAGCCAATTATTTTTAAAGGTAAAAAGGGAATTATGATATAGATATGCATAGTTTGTTTTGGAATGGATTTTCATTTATTGATACAATTTAAGGTCAATTTTGTCATATGTATATTTCTCCTCTTGTTTGTATAGCTCATTTAGAAATGTAATGTATAATGTAGTACAGATTATAGATAATTACCTATGATAGTCAAAGCTTAGAGTTTAGTTAGGGTTTTCAAGATACACAGAGATGTATTTAAGATAGATAGGAATTCTTCAAATCTTTCAAAGACCTACAGAATATGGCATTTAAAATGGTTTAGGGTTTTTCTTGACAATGAGACATAAATGTTCCTGGCAACACCACCTGCGTCAGAAAGGAAGATGAAGATGGACATTGAAGAAACTCATTATGGAGTTTACTTCCAATATGGCAAGACTAGCCATTTGGACAAGATACTGCTCTTGTCTGGACTGTTTGACTTTATGCTGTATAAACTGGACATGCAGGACCCACAGAAAAGTGACTTCTGATTCAAGATGGACATTGCTACAGAGATCCTGCTTCATGGAAGAGTCTTCGAGACAGTATGCAGGACACGGAGAAAAGTGACTGACAAACTGCCAATACAAGAAGACAGTATAAAGTTTTCTGCTTTACTGGAGAGTCTGTCAGACACACTATGGCCTATGGGCTGAAGATGGAAGATTACAAAACAACTTCGGGTGACCAGGCAGTGAGTTGTTTCTGTCATTTCTAGAGTTTATATATTATCCTTCTGTGGTCTTTGAAGGAGTTGAAGACAGATAGTTATGGTTATAGTTTTCATTAGTTAGGATTAAAGATAAGTTACTTAGACTTTAGACACTCAAAGATAGAATAGATGATGAAATATTTTCTTCAAATCTTGCTAAATGTTAATGGACTAAATATTGTTAACTGTGATTCTTACTTGATAACTGTTGTATAATATATTTTGCTATGTTAAGGTTAAAACCCTTCTTTTTATTTAGACAGAAAAGAGGAGATGATGGGAGATGTCATTCTGTATGTTTCTCGTACTGGTTAATAATAAAGCACTGTTGGCCAATAGGAAAGGAAGATAGGAGGGACTAGGAGACAAGGAGGAAATAGGAAGTAGTAAGGAGAGTCAAGATGGAGAGTCTGGAGAAAGCAGGACGCCAGCCGCCTCCCCGGTAAGAGAAGGCCATGTGAAGATACATAGAAATGGGTTAATAATTAAAGGCAGAGCTAGCCGATAAGTAACAAGTAACCGGGCCAACAGTATTGTATCAAATACAGAGTCTCTGTGTGTTATTTGGGGCTGGTGGCATGGTAGCAGGACAAGACCGGGCAGCAGGCGGAAAAACCGTACTCGTTACAACCTTCAATATACAAAATGAGTTTCTTTTATTTTGATCTTTTAAAGCACACTGGAATAAAAAGTCCCAGCTGACATATCATTGCCAAACAAGTTCATCAAACCCAGCAATAGATGATGTGGGGGTTTTTGACTGGTGGGCATTCCTTTCTTGACTTGCATCATGAAGTCTCTGATGGGGTAGCAAGGCAAAGAAGTTGAATCTTTCTCCCATCTTCTGAGGGTTCATTAACATGTCATAGCCCCAAAGTAACTGCTGCTTCTTGGATGGCTCATCTGCTTTATCTAAAAGAACCTGAAGGGGGAAAGGTCTTTAACAAAGGTCACTGGAAGAAAGGCTTCCCCACTGCAGCACTAACAGTGACTTCAGTGAGCAGTACAGCAGTGTCCCACATGTGACCATGGGGTGCTTATAGCTGTGGCCCAAATGTGCACATCTGCATCTTTAGCAGATATCCCAGGTTCATACCCATGATTGTGGTGTCCTTGGGAGCCTCAACCTCATATAGAAACCTAGCAAGCTATACTACACCCCAGCTCTCACTTCTGCCAAGACCACAACAGGACCTGCTCACTACAACAGCATTGAGCCAGTAGAGCTTCCTCTAAATAACTTTTTAAAATTTAAATTAGAAACAATTTTATTTTACATATCAATCCCAGTTCCCTCTCCTTCCCATCCTCCCATGCCCCCCAATCCCATCCCCCTTCTGCTCCCCAGGGGAGAGTGAAGCCTTCCATGGGGGATCTTCAAAGTCTGTTACATCATTTGTAAATAAATTTTAAATGAAGATATTTAGTGTTTGTGAGATAGACCATTACCTTCAGCCGGATGTCAATGCCCATGTTTTTTAAAAATGTCCGTTGCTCTACAGGACCCAGAGCGGCTACTTTCCCTTGTGCTATTCTGTGCAGGTAACTGAAGTCAACATCTGCTGTCAGATCAGCTGTTCCCGGAGCAATTAAGACATTATGAAGCTGGTGTCCACAAAATCCCTTGAGTATAAAGAATAGCTTGACTGTTTTAGTTAAAATTTATCGAGATTAAAGAAAGGATGTCCTACAAATACATTTTTTTACACTGCCAATGTTAAAAAGAAAAGTATGGCCTAAGTCTGTGGTTTAACTCTAGGCAATGACAGCCTTCCTTCAAACAAGGTGATACATGGAAAACCCAATAGAATATACAAAGTTGGAATGGCTGAAGATGTTACCTTTATCCTAAAACTAACATTTCCACTGATGCTGTGGCTAGTTCCAGTTATCAGAGTCTAGGTGGTATTTTACAAAATGTACCTGTCAATCACAGACTCAAAACCACCTGAGAATATGGGAGTGTACTCCATCCAGGCCTGCTCTACTATAGTCCTGGAGGGAGGCTAGAGGCCATCATTGTTGACATGTTCTCCAAGCTAAGAATTCTTAACAATAATGAAGTTATAAACAAAGAACCATTTATCCAGAAAATGAGTAATAGCCTTTAGTTAAACATATTTCTATTAAAGAATATTCAACATATTTAAACATATTGTCATATTTTTAAAAAAAAACATTTAGAAAGAATGATTAGGAAGGGTGAAAGAAAATACCTGGAAAGAAAAAGATGTTAAAATAGTTTGATTTCAATGGCTAGGTACTTTTGCTTTTTTTTTTTTTTTTTTTCCTAAATGAAGGCAGGGCTAAAATGTTAATATGAAGAAAATCTTTCCCAAAATTTGTATTCTGTTTCCCTTGACTCTATGCATATCTAGGCTCTGACTAAGGAACAATGATGGTAAGATTCAGAATATGGGGTAATTATAACAGCATAATTAACATTCTTTCTAAAATGAATACAACAAAGTTAGGCACCATAAAAACCAAGCTAAGACAACTCTTCAGTGGATCTAGCAATGAAATTCTGATGAAGCATACCCCTGTGTGATACATACTCTGAAGGTGTCTGTCTTTGTTCCATCATGGCCGTAGTCAGCAATCAGGGCAGCACCTCCAGTTAATGCAATGCGTTGGGAAAGTTCCTGTATAATAACCCCAGCATCAGGACATACTTCCACATGGTCCCTTTGCTCATCATGCTGGTGAAGGAATCATAATACATCACTTGAAAAAACTGTCTTCTTAAGAGTTTTTCACACTCCTACAAGTTGAACATTTCTTAGTTATAACAAATTCAATGTGAACATGGTCTAGACAGTGTTTCCCATGACATCCTTTCATTACACAGAACATGGTTCTTTCCTGTTGGACATTAAGTTTGTAGACATTTCAATATTTTATTTTTTTAAAGGCATATGTACTCTGAGCCTCCCACATGGTCAAGTGCAGTATCATTTTATTATAAAAGCACTTTCCTATATTAATATAAGAAAACAGTTCAATGGATTATATACATGAGGGAACACCACCTAATATTAACAGGGACTCAAAAGATACTGTCAAAAGTTCCACTTCTAAGAACCCAATTAAATCAGATTCAGCAACTATGCTACCTTCTGTGAAGGCAGAAAAGCATTCCAGTAGTGTCTGCATCTACAAGCACTGGCTCATAAACTAGTGACAAGCTTGTGAAATTTTGCTATCTTCACTATGGAAACCACCATCCTTTACTCTCTCTAACACCCTGAAAACAAAACAATGACCTACAGTGACGTCTCCACCAATGATGAGGCAAGCACAAGAGATGTGGAGCCACAGACTTGGTGTAGGGTTAGACCTCAGCAATTCCTACTGCTCAATGACAGACAACATTTCTGTCTGTGTTCTGATAAAACATACACTCGGCCTATAGTGTGGATTCAGTAAAATAATAAACATTTAGCCCTAATAGTATTAGATAAACCAATGTAGCTAAGAAAATCACAAAGCCAGCCTCGTGAGGCATCTGCCAGCAAGCCTCAGGTAACCTTACTGATACTCATATTGTAAGGATTTAGGCATTATGCTGGCCTGCCCCTGTCACCTGGCAGAATGCACTCAGGCAGAACTCTGGTCAACCCAGGGTTCCATGAGTACTAGGTGTAAAGGACCCCTTTAAAAGTCAGACCCCTGCCAATTTATGCTCTCTTTTGCCTTCCAGCTCCTACCTCTCTCTCTCTCTCTCTCTCTCTCTCTCTCTCTCTCTCTGTCTTCTGTTTTCGGTGTCTCTATGTCTCTTCCCTTCCCCCTCACTCCCCTTTCTAAATAAACTATGGAACATGCTACACTCGCCCATGTGGTCCCTTACTTTGGGACCCCACTCACTTGGGACCCTCACTCGGGCGCCCCCTCCTCCAGCTTTTATTCCTATAACTGTAATAAAAGAAAATTTTGGTGCCCTGAAACTCGATCAGGCCCTCCTGGAGAACTTGTCGGCCACCTGATGGTGGACGGCCAGCCAGAGGCACTCAGGGATCCTAATTCCAAACTAGCAATCCACTTCCATCCACCCGTTCACTGGAAATGCCATCCCACACCAGCTACAATTCAGTAAGGTACCCTCTTTCACTGTAACTTGTTTCCTTAGGGTCTGGTACATTTCCCACGGGTGAATTAAAAAATCACCCTCATTGGGCGGTATATCTGATTCTGGCTTCAAGCCTTCCTGACTTCGGACTGCTGAGTCCTCATTGGCCACAGAAGGCCTTGGCAACGTTTTCGCGCTGACAAGCTTCGGATAATGCTCTGCCATTCCTGCTTATCAGGCACCTTGCCCTTGGTCACATTCTTGAGCTGATGAGTTCCAAGACTGATTTGCCAGTTTTTGCTTCACCCATGGGAAATAAACCAACCAAGTTAATAATCCCATCCACTCCACTAGGATGCCTAGTAGAAAATTAAAAACCCTTTCACTTAATGCTATTTGTTAAGGCACCCAGACTCATTTACCTTTGTACTGAGAAATGGCCTAGATATCCTCTAGAAAATAAGTCAAATTGGCCACGTAATGGATCTCTAGATCCCAATATTTTACGAGATTTTTCAAATTACTGCCAGCGAACAGGTAGATGGAAGGAGTTACCATATATCCAAGCTTTATCTCTCTGCTAAACACTCTCTTTCCTCTTCCTCCTCTCCTTCTCATGTCCTTCTAGCCATGAAAGCTGAACCTGGAGAAACCTCCACTTAGACCCTGCTAATGAACATCCACCGCTCCGTCCTCAACATTCAACTACCTCTTCTGCTTCTCCTTCCTCTTCAACTCCTTCCTTTCCAACACTGGGTGGCTCTAAAGGCCCAACGCTTGCACCTACTTTCACACCCCTGTTACCCACTCTTGGACCACCTCATGTTCTCAACCCACCAAAGCCAAGCCAGCTACAGTTCTCCCCTTGCGAGAAGTGGCCAGAGTGGATGGTCTGGTTAAAGTGCATGTCCCTTTCTCCCTATCAGAACTTTCTCAGGTACAACATAGACTGGGTTCCTATACCTCTAACCCAACCACCTTTATAAAACAGTTATATATATATATATATATATATATATATATATATATATATATATACATGATCTTAACCAACTACCTGAGGAACACAGACGAGTTTGGGAGCAGGCTAAAGCATATGCAGATGAAGTTCATCAAATTCTGGCAGCTCACCCTACTGGGCCAGAGGCTGTTCCAGAAAATGAGCCTAATTGGGATTACAACACTCCAGGGGGAATTCTGGCTAGAGACCAGTTTACAACCTGCCTCATGACTGGTCTCTGTAAGGCTGCCCTAAAGCCAATAAACTATCAAAAAATTCTAGAGGTAGTTCAGGACAAAACAGAAAATCCCTCTCAGTTCTTAGAATGCCTTACACAGGCCTTCTTACAGTATTCTAACCAAGACCCTGAGAGGTCACAGGGGAGGCAACTCCTTATGAATTTTTTTTTTTCTTTCCTCAGGGGTAAACTTAAAAGTTTGGAACTAGGACCCCTAATCTCACAGGCAGAAGCTTTAAGAGTAGCCTTTAAGGTGTACCATGGGAGAGATAACAAAGCCCTAAACTATTCCCCATCTCATTCCTGCATTGAATCCCTAGAGGAACTATTGCCCCACCCTTCACACATACGGAAGGGCATGCTACCTCAGGCCACCTATACCTGGTACACAGATGGCAGCTCCTTTCTACATGAGGGGACCCATAGAGCAGGCTATGTCAGAGTGTCAGATACCAGGGAGTAGGCACAGGCACTACCTGCCCATACTACTAACCAGCAGGCTGAATTAATAGCCCTCACCCGTGCCTTCCAATTAGCACAGGGACAAACCCTAAATGTTTACATAGACTCCAAATATGCCTTTCACATCCTCCTGTCCCATGCTGCTATCTTGAAAGAGCGGGGGTGGGAGGGTGGGGGGGTGGGGGGAGCTGCTTACTACAAAAGGAGGATCCATAACTAACTCAGGTCATATTACCGCCATGTTAAAGGCCTCCCACATCCCCAAAGCTATAGGGATTATTCACTGCCAGTCTTATCAGACTGACAGCTCCATTATCTCTAAGGGAAACAATTGGGCTGATGAAGCAGCTAAAGCTACAGCCCTCAGAAGCCCACACTCACCACACCCACCACAGGGAGTCCTGACACTACAACCCACATCCTCACAGTCACCTCCTAATACTTGACAAATTCTGTCCTATTTACACCAGCTCTTTCATCCTAACAGCAAGGCTCTTTCTCATTTTGTCAAGGCTTACACCTCCAGCCCACTCCTGAGGACTTAAAAACTATCACTGCCTCTTGTAAAACCTGTCAGACGTCAGGTCCTAACTCCAGGTATTGTAGCTTCCCTTTTCCTACCCACCAGGCCAGGAGCTCCCTCCCAGGGACTGATTGGCAACTTGACTTTACCCACATGCCCATAGTCAGACGGGTCAAATATCTCCTGGTATTTGTTGATACCTTCTCAGGGTGGGTGGAAGCTTTTCCAACTACTAACAAGAAAGCTCAGACAGTCTCTGACACCCTTCTCAGGGAAGTCATTCCACAGTTTAGAATTCCAGCTTCTCTTCAGTCAGACAATGGTCCTGAGTTCACCTCTCAGATCTCATAAATCTTATCTAAAGCTCTCAACATCCCTTGGCATTTCCATATCCCCTATCACCCCCAGTCCTCAGGGAAGATACAGCATTCTAACTGTTCCTTAAAAAGTGTTCTTGTCAAAATGTCTCAGGAACTTCACCTTGACTGGGTAAAGCTCTGGCCTCTGGCTTTATTCAGGCTTAGGGCCCTCCCCAAACAACCCCTTCTCATCTCACCCTTTGAACTTGTATATGGGAGGCCAGTTCTAACACCTGGTCTCTCACTTTCAGAACTGTCACATCTCCCTGACCACCTGCTTACACCCTTACTTCATCATCTCTGTTCCGTTCCCTCCTATGGAAATTTACTGACCACTCCCTGCCTCAACCATGCGCCAACCCCTGTACATTACCAATTAACATTGGGGAGCAGGTCCTTCTCTCTCCCCCAGACCAATGCCCCTCACCTCTTTCCCCTAAATGGCAGGGCCCCTTCAAGGTAATCCTTGCCACTCCAACAGCTGCTAAGCTTGAGGGCCTTTCCCACTGGATTTATGTATCCCACCTCAAACCCTTCTCCACCCAAAACTCATCCCTCATATACAAAACTACAACAGGACCCTGTTCCCTTAAGCTTCGGAGGACACCGAGATCAACTACACTGCCTCCTATTCTAGAAGATTAAGGATTCACTCCTGTAACCTCACCCTGCCAGACTGGGAAACTCATGCTCTCCTTCCTGTTCTCAGGCTAATCTAAACTCTCCTACTTCTAAATATACCCCTCATCAATCCCCTCTCTATATATTCCTCAATAACCCATTCAAAATTTCTAATCTAACCGATTAGCTGTTGTTACAGGAACACCAGCCAAAAACCACGGATCTAGAGACACAAATCATCAAATACTTGTGACTCCTAAGTAAAGGTAACATTTCTAACATGAGTATGCTGCTAATGTGTCTAATATTTATGTTTTCACAAACTCAAAGGATTCTTGTAAGTTCTAGGGAGCCGAATTGGGTGGGAGCCCCACTTTAAACAGGTCAGATTCACACCAAATAAATATTACTCAACTTCTTCCTAGCCTTGGGACTTCCTTCTTGGGACCCTCTCGGGAGCCCGTCCCTATCTAACAATTCTCCCATAAGTACTCCTAGGACCTAAGAAAAAACTTTTTTTTCTGATCTTAACCTTTTCCTCTGCTCTCACTAACATCTTGCCAGGTCTCAAAGAGATGCCAGAGTTCCATACCGTCAGGACTGCGATGAAACAACCAGCTACTAGGATGTAGGAGCACCTTGGCTTTCTCAGGTCCCCCAAAGATGATCAAAGCCCCCAGGTCAGTAGGAAGCAGTCTTGGGAACTCAATATCTCTATTCCCTAACCTGCCATGCCCAAGCCCCCCCCCCTTTTTAATAAGAGGTGGGAATGTTGGAAACTGGCATTCTGCTGACCCCGCCCCCTAACGATGGATGGGACAGGCATGGCCATGTCATGGCTACGGGGCTGTGTAGGGGATTCCATTACCCATACGCAAGTTTCCCTTTTTAAGCAAGGGCCCCACACCCCCACCCTCTCTCTCCTGCTTTTGGTTGGCCACCAGCTACCCCCCTTTCTTTTCTCTCCACCAATAAACTCCATGTGGGCGCGTTGAGTCTTGAGTTCATGTTTCATTGGCAATAGCTGCAGCAAAAGAATAACACATAGCACCTCAGACTGATCTTCACCACAGGTGGCACCCCGAGGACCCCACTTAAAGGACAGCCCAAGCTTCTCTTAAGAGAATGCTAGTCAAGAATTGCAAAAGACTACTCCCAGGGGCAGAGTGACTTCAGGGAGAGGAGATGGCACTTTGGTAGCTTTATAAATGTTTGTCATTCAGACAGAATTTCATAGAATATGAAAACTCACAAGTATTTAATCTGATGTTCCAACTTACACTTTGTGAAGAAAACAAATAGGTATATTTTCAAAAACTTGTTTTTAAAACTGAAAACTTTAGGAAATTCTTAAGAGCTAGAAAGTAAAACATTTTTCTGGGGTAGAGAAGAGGGAATAAAAAGGAGGTGCTATAAAGCTCAGATATCCCTGAGATGAACACACTGTTTTGGGACCTTTATACATAGTCCTGTAACTAAAGGGATGGCTCAGCAGTTAGGAGCACTGGATGTCCTTCCAGAGAACCTTGTTTTGATTCCCAGCACCCACATAGCATCTCAGAGCTATGTCAGGGGGAAACTGACACCCTCACACAGACACACAGGTAAAACACCAATATATAAAAAATAAATATTTTTAAGAAGTAAAGCACAGTCCAAAGATAGAAAGCTCAGGGAACCAATCCTTACAGACAACAGAAAGCAGCAGTTAATCTGTCCACAGTGTGGGATCAAAGGTAGGTCTGGGTTCTCATATGACTCAACAGCTGTGCTGTGGCCCAGTGATGACAGTAACATGTACCTAATGAACACCCAGAGCAAAACAGGGTGCTCAGTAAATACCCTGCCCAGAGAGGGGATCTTCCCTATAAAGTAGATCACATGGCAGCAGTTATCATAAGAGGCACTTGGCTGGGTAAACACTCTGTCTTCCTCCATAGCAATAAGATGACATGCAAGAGGCACCTTCAGCCCATCCTGATTCTATGTCTGGACTGTATTGTGGCTGTTACTGCAAAGCACCTCACGTGCCACCAGCACTCCCACTGGGAAGAAGCTAAAATGACAACTAAGAAGATGGCTAGACGACTCTGCATCAACAAAAGAAAAACTCAAATCCGTACTTGTATGAAGGCTTCTGCTGGGGTTGTACAAGGTGCCAAGACGAACCTCAGTTTATCAGAAACTTGTGGGTCGATATCAACAAGCACTTCTCTCCATCCTTGACGTGTTTTCTAAACAAAATACATAAAAACAAACATTTACAACCTCTTAAAATGTGCTGTTTGTGTACATAATAAAGAGAGCTGGAGAAGGAAGCAAGCACTGCTGGGCTGCACAGGAAAGCAGACTCAGGCTGAGCAAGCGAGCCATGTGGAATGAATGAGTACACCACATGAATGGGTTTACTCTTAGCTTCAGGAGTTGCCATAGATGGGGCTGACAGACTTGCCCAGACAAATAAATGTGCGGTGACGAAGCCATTCACCACCATACGCTTTCTTATGCCTTTATCCCAAAACTAAGATTCATGGTCACTTCCCCAGGAGAATAAAGGTTCTGGGCAATGTTTCATGTTTGGTTCTCGGTCGTTCATATTCACAAACATCCCACATAACGCTGACTTGAGCAAGCAGTGGGCAAGCACCATCAACTCACTCGCACACTCCACAGCTTTGCTTTATCACAAACACAGCATTTCCATCAATACCTGAAATTTATGCACGGGGAGCGTATCAAAAAACTCATGTGCGAGATAAAAGCTGTATCCTATTTAAAAATACAAGAAAATTAGTGATTTGGCATTTCAACACAATTCCATTGAACATTAGCCATAAAAAAAGAAGGTGCCCAATTCATTCTTCAGCACTGGGACTTGGGAGTGGTTCTCAACCTTCCCAATGCTGTGACCCTTTAATACAGTTCCTCATGTGCTGACCCCAACCATAAAATTAGTTTCTATGCTACTTCATAACTGTAATTTGTTACTCTTATGAATCATAACATAAATATCTGATATGCAGAAGAGCTGATATATGACCCCTGTGAAAAGCTCATGCAATCGCTAAGGGGTCACCACCCACAGGTTGAAAACCAACAGCTCTATGGAAAACTCACTGTAAACAGCATACAAAAGAGACCATTACTCCTCAGTTTCTACATAATGACCTGAGAACAGAAATAGCCCAGGATCAGCTAACTCTTCTTCATTAAGTTCCTAAAACTGACAAGCCTCAAATGGGTTAGCTGAAAAGGAAGTGAACTTCATATAATATCTGAGAAACCTAAGACCAGAAACAGCTTTGGGTATCTTGTTGGAGATCTTACCTCCATGCTGTCAAAGACTCTAGGCTGTTTTATCCCCACACCTCACTTGCCTTTGGACAAGTAAAGATTTTTCAAGAGACTAATGACTACCACTTTCTTCAGCCCATGCTGTTGGGACTCTCTGTGGGGGGTATCCAAGCCCTACCCAGATGTTCAGCTGGGAACTCAGGCCGCACTCCTCCCATTCCAAACCTGGCCTAAAAAACCCACTAAGAGCTGGTTACCCCACCCCACCTACTGGAGACCATGCCTATAGAGTACTTAAGAGCTGCCACATGACTTCTCTCCTACTCCCCCTGGAGTTGCTTTGCATAGATTAAACATGGTCTTACTAATTCTGTTTGATTTGACTTATTGCATTGGCGGAGAAACCCACTATCTCAGATTCAAAAAATTTATCATAGGCCACTGCATCATGAGTGCTATCCTAGCTAAAAGGAAATACTATAAAGTACAGAGATTTCCATTTTGGATTTTTGTTTGGTTTGCTTTCTATAAAACAATATGAAATATACCACTGCTTAATGTTCTACAATCTTCTTTTATAACTTTTTTTGTTTTTTTTTTGTTTTTTTGTTTTTTTTTTTTTTTTTTTTTTTTTTTTTTTGCTAGAAAAGGAAAAGTCAGCTATTCACTTCAAATAAAGGACTTGGAAGCACTAACGGCTAAACTGCAATAAAAGGTTGGTCAGCTGTCACTGCTGTGAGCAGTTCTGAGCCTTTAATCAATGAAAAATTATACCTTTAGGAACATCCTTCAGATCTCGGTACCAGGAGACTGGAATCCCAGATTTGGTGACCCCTTTCATATACACCAGGGATTCAGCATCTCTCTCCAAAGGGATCTTCTCCTCAGTCAGTGTCAATGCTTGAATCTCACTTAATTTTTGGCTCACCTCTACTAGGTGTACTGAAATGTCACAGTTTTTTAGCACAGACCCAAGCTGACTGAACACCTAAAACAAAAAGAGAACACTGTGTCTTAGTTACTGTACTACGGCTGTGACAATAGCCAAGACAACTTAGAAAAGAAAGTGCTATCTGGGGGATAGAATACAGAGGGTGAGGCCATGACCATTATGGTGGGAATCATGGCAGCAGACAGGAATACCTGATGCTGGAGCCATGGCTTATATCTTATCCACAAGTTGGAGACAGAGTTGAGACTGGGCCTAGTGTGGGCTTTGGAAACCTCAAACCCACTGCCAAGTGACACACCTGTTCTAACAAGGTCTCTTAATCTTCCAAACAGTTCTACCAACTGGTGACCAAGCATTCAAATATATAAGCCTAAGGGGGCTAATGCACCACACAATGGCAAACAATGTGTCAAGGAGACAGGGGTTTCTGACTTCTCACCACAACCAGTCATATCACAAGAGTATTCATTTTAGAAATTTAGCCCTGACCCAAGTCATTCTCCAGTAACATGAAAGAACATACCTATTAGAAGTAATAAACATCATTTATATATAAAATAAACTACAACATGGCTTCTTAATAATAATTTACTATCAAAAATTAAAAGATTTAGCAGCCACACAATGTTTCAGATCAAAAGTTTTTTAAATGTCCAAGGAAATAAAATATTGACAGGCAGTGGTAATGCCCGCCTTTAATCCCAACACTTGGGAGGCAGAGGCAGGAGGATCTATGTGAGTTTGAGGCCAGCCTGGTCTACAGAGAGAGTTCCAGAACAGAGTCCAAATCTACACAAAGAACCCCTGTCTCAGAAAAAAATAAACGTCTGGGACATGATGAGACTGTATCCTCAGAATCAAATTAAATGGTACCCATAACTTGACTGACCCTGGGATTAAAACATATTTTCCATTTTCCCTACACTACACAATAGTTTTTTACACACTTCTTACCCATTTTTAGCAACTCAAAGGTGAAGGCATAAATGACATCACCCAAGCATTTTATATTTTTAACATGTACATCATCCCTCCATTTTTTAAGTTTACAGACAATAATACGTAATAAAACTCCAACATTGTATTTTACTAACAAATATAAGATTTGGGAAGTAGGGCTAAAAGCCCAGAAGATAAGTGAAATTTCCACACTCAGTCGGAGACAGAAAGACTAACCTTCAAGACTTAGAGACAATCTTTTATTACCTACCCTCAAAACATCTCCAGTGAGGGTCCCCCGACCTGGACCCAGTTCCACCAGCTGGAAAGCTGTGTTTTTCCCAGAGGTCATCCATTCACTAACAAACCATATCCCCAGCAGCTATGACAAGAAAAAAAAAAAAAAAAAAAACACTGAAGTGTCTCAGCGTAAAACTACATAAATACATGCTATAGACCAAAAATCAAAACATTTATAAATAATTGTATGTCTGTCTTTAAACAGGCATAGATCACACACACACACACACACACACACACACACACACACACACACACAGGAACTTCACTGGAATTGCTACAACACACATAGCATAGGCAGCTAACTATCAGAGCAGATGTTGTTAAGCCCATTTCCTCTATAAAAGGCCTCATGACACAAATAAGCAGTCACTTACAGAAAGGTACTAGCATTTGAAAACAAGGACAGAGGTTTCTACTTACTCTCATGATCTACATTATTACACTACCCTTAGTTGTCATTAATGTCTCTCAGACCTGTTTATGTACAATTTCCTATTCTTAAGTCATCAAAGGTACTTTTAGGGAAATACAGGAACCATGGTTCTGGTTCTTACAGAGACCTTACTGTGAGCAGGTTAAGTCACAGCTGGCAGTGCCAGAGATCATTGTGTTCTTTCTTTCTTTTTTTTTCCCTCTCTCCCTTTCCAGTCTCATTTTGTATATAGTTCTCCACTTCTTAAACCTTTTCTACCTTCCTTGCTCCTTCATATCTCTCCATTTCTTTTTCTACATTGAAGTCTATGGTTTTTCAAGTGTCCTCTCCACCATTCCCTCTGAAAGTTTTACATATTTGATGAATATCATACACACACACCCACACACACACACACAATTACAGATCAGCATAGGTTGGTCTACTCTCAAGTGTTTACAACATTCATTCCTTTTACAGTCTACATGTTGGTTATTACCTCCCCAAAGAGTTGACTTATTTCAGGTGAAGTAATGAAGTCTCCTTTTTCTCCAAGCATATCATGGTGTACATAATATCCCTGAGGAAAGGGGGAAATGGAAAAGATTCATTTTCAAATAAGGCTTTCAAAACTACTCCTCCAAAATGTTAAGTATGTTAAGTAATGCATACAGTGCTGACAGTGATGTGACTATTTACCAAGGAAGTTCTTCTCAAATAGCCAAGACAAAGACATTCTTTACCTAAATTTTACATGATAGTAGTCATTTCTCAAAATTCATAAAAACAATTATTCCTCATGTAGAAGGGCTGGGGCCTTGCAATGTTCATGCCTACGCCCCCTGCCCTCTCCCCACGCCCACAGTCCAGCACAGGAAGACTCTAATCACCCCCCTGAAGCCTCCTCTCCCAAGCTAGTCTTGCCTGTTCGTGATACTATTTCTCGACCATGGTGCAACTTACATAAATGATGTGTTATGTGTGAAAGTATGTGTGTGTGTGAGAGAGAGAGAAATCCATTCAATTATATACCAATAACTTTATGTATTTTTATAAGATTAATGTATCTCAATAAAAAGGTGGGTTTTCTTAAAAAAAAAAAAAGCAAAAAAAAAAAAAAAAACAAAAAACAAAAGCAACTGGCCTTGCTTGTCTACTTCAATGCCAATTCGAAACTTTCTTCCATTTTTAGTTCTCCTGGAATCCTCATCAGTTCAGTTTACTCAAATGCATATTCACTGACCTCTCCTAACACTTCCAACCCCAAACTAAATCTAATGCAAAAAAAAAAAAAGTCTATCATTACTCTAACTAGAAGGTTTAATTACCATGTCTAACTCTTACTATCTTCATATCCCAAGTTAGACCATAAACTTAACTTTCAAGAATGGGCTCACTGGAAGGCAGTGGTGGTCCACGCCTTTAATCCCAGCACTAGGGAGGCTGACAGAGGCAGGCAGATCTCTGAGTTCGAGGCCAGCCTGCTCTACAAGCTACACAGAAAAACCCCCGTCTCAAAAAAAAAAAAAAAAAAAAAAAAAAAAATGAAAGAAAGAAAGAAAGGAAGGGGAAGGAAGAAAGAAAGAAAAGAATGTCTCAATCAAAGCTTTCCTAAAACCAGGCAGTTGATCATCTAGAATCCCAGCACTCGGAAGAAAAAAAAAAAAAAAAACACACACACACACAAAGACCTTCCCTGCAAGTTCAAGGCCAACCTTATGCAGATAGCGTTCCCTTCCAACAGCCCCCTCAGGAAATCATCTTTAGCTCACGAAATTCCAACCACATTCTGTGACACCGAAACACCACAGAAATTTGCCCTGACCTCTGTATTGGCAATGTCCTTGAATTAATGCGGCCTGATCAAGTGGCAGATTAAACTACATCCCAAGGATTTCGGAGACTGCTCATCCTCTGCTGACCCTCAGGACCTTAGAGCTCCTCGATGCATACACCCTTCCTGTCTTGTGCTCCCCTGTGTTTACCTTGACTGGATTGGTCAAAACCTCCTTCATGTACTCAGCCACAGTGATAGGACCTGTAGACTTTATTTTATATATAAGATGCCGCAGCATCGGCGTCACCCGGTTGCTTTCTGCAGGCTCATTCCCGGAGCTGAAGCATTTTCTTCTCCAAATACAGGGAATGCCTGAAAAGCACGATTAAGCACCTGCATTAGAAATCTCCGATTAATTTACACGCGCAAGCTTGCAAGAGCTTGCAAGACAGCCTTGCTCATCACTAACTTCGCCCCAGTGTCAGAACCCGATGCACTGAGCCCACGACTACCCCACGGCCAAGCCTCTCTGCGGACCGGCTTCCAGCTCCAGTCCCAGGAAACAACAGAGGAACCAAGGAACCATGCCACGCGTTTTACATGGAAACAGGATTCTACTTCGAGGACTCTTACCGACACGGGCCACTCGGTATCTCACTAAAGCATTCATTCCCAGCCACGTCGGTCCAGGCTCCGCCCACTTAAACGGAAGTGCTTCACAGGAAGAGGAAGTGGGTTACGGGCTGCGCGCGTGTTCTGCCAGCAATGTCGGCGGACCAGGAGTTTTTAGCGTTCCATGCCAAGCAGCCCCGGCGTCCCAAAGCGGTGACAGACGATCCAGAGGAGGCAGACGAGGAGGAAAGCGATGAGGCCAAGAATGACTTCTCTCTGGAGGAGGTGTTACGACTCGGAGGCACTAAGGTGACGGCCGCAGGCCCCGGGGAAGAGGATGCTGCTTGGAGTGTGGGACCCGCAACGCACCCTCCGACTTGTTCTGAGCTCCTCACACGCCTATCTTCAGTGAAATAAAAATATTCGGATGGCATGTTTTCTCTTAAGATGTAGGCGATCTTGTTATTACTGTGGCATAACCCCTCAAGTCCATCAGGTCGGAGAAAATTAACTTACTGGTCTCTACCTCGTGGACATGTTTTGAACGCTAGTGTATGTGTAATCTGAATCCACTGCGTTAAAAGGAAAATGAATGCCGTATAGGTTGGATTGAAGTTGCCAAAGGACCTTCAGGTTTACTGTACCCTTTTATAAAAGTGCCTTCATACTTCATAACATGTTTTTATTTATTATTGGAGGTGGTGCTATATGTGTGTGTAAGTCAAAGGACAATTTGGTAGAGTCAATTCTCTTCTTTGCGTGGGTTCTGGGGGGTCGAACCCAGGTTGTCAAGCTTGCTTGGGAAGGGCTTGACACGATGAGCCACCCCCTGCCCACTCAACCTTTTATCTTTGCTTACCTGATACATTACAAATGCATATATCATTGCGATTTTCATTGGATTTCTGTGGCTCTCGGCTTGAGCATCTTCCCATAACTTGAAGAAGGTTCTTTTCCCTATAGTGTGCATATCCTTGGTACATATTCTTACTGATGTCTGTGACTTTCCCAAGCAATAGTGCAGTAGTTCAAATGTGATGATTTTCAAAGATGAGGCTCTTACTGAAGTCCTGGGTTTGTGATAGTTTTAACTTTTTTATGTTTCTGCAGCAAGATTACCTTATGCTGGCTACTTTGGATGAAAATGAGGAAGTGGTGGATGGAGGCAAAAAAGGCGCAATTGATGACCTTCAGCAAGGTGAATTGGAGGCATTTATCCAAAACCTTAATTTGGCCAAATATGCAAAGTCTTTGATTGAAGAGGATGAACCAGATAAAAAAGAAAATGTTAGCAAAAAGGAAGCAAAAATACTGAAGATAGAAAATAAAAAGCAAAAAGCAACAGATAATAAAAATACATCTGAAATGAAGGTGAAAAATAAGACTGTACCAGAACAGCATTCTGACAGCAGTACCATCCCAAAAACAAAGAAAGATAAACAACCAGATGTGTTCGAATTTCTTGAGAGACAAGCATTGTTACTCAAGCCTGGAGGCAAGTGGTATGACATGGAGTACAGCAATGAATACTCTTCAGAGCCCCAGCCTCGGGATGTAGTGTCTAAATACAAAGCCCTGGCTCACAAGCTATATGAGCATGAAGTCACCTTATTCAAAAATAAAACAAATAATCAAAAAGGAGGCTCTTCCACCTGGATGAAGGCAATTGTGTCATCAGGGACACTGGGTGACAGAATGGCAGCCATGATTCTTTTGATCCAGGATGATGCTGTTCACACACTACAGTTTGTAGAAACCCTCTTGAACCTAGTTAAAAAGAAGGGCAGCAAGCAGCAGTGCCTTATGGCTTTGGATACATTCAAGGAGTTACTCATTACAGACCTTCTGCCAGACAGTCGGAAGCTACGGGTCTTTAGCCAGCATCCTTTTCACAAACTGGAGGAGTTGTCTAGCGGCAACAAGGACTCAAGAGATAGAAGACTCATACTGTGGTATTACGAACACCAGTTGAAACACTTAGTAGCAGAATTCGTGCAGGTCCTAGAAACTTTAAGTCACGATTCCTTGGTAACCACTAAAACCAGAGCCCTGGTAGCTGCTCACGAGCTTCTCTGTGATAAGCCTGAGGAGGAGAAGGCTCTTCTTGTGCAGGTGGTGAACAAGCTAGGAGATCCTCAGAACAAAATTGCCACGAAAGCTTCCCACCTACTAGAGGTGTTACTGCGCAAGCATCCCAATATGAAAAGAGTTGTGTGTGGAGAAATAGAAAGGCTTCTCTTTCGCTCCAACATCAGCTCCAAAGCTCAGTATTATGCAATTTGCTTTTTAAACCAAATGGTCCTCTCCCATGAAGAAAGCGAGCTGGCTAACAAATTAATAACTCTTTATTTTTGTTTCTTTCGGACTTGTATCAAGAAAAAAGACATTGAATCAAAAATGCTCAGTGCCATTTTAACAGGAGTCAACAGGGCATATCCTTATTCTGAGATAGGTGACGACAAAGTGAGGGAGCAAGTAGATACTTTATTCAAAGTATTGCATGTTGTAAATTTTAACACTAGTGTGCAGGCTTTAATGCTACTTTTCCAAGTCATGAATTCTCAACAGACAATATCTGATCGGTATTATACAGCACTTTACAGGTAAGTGCATAGCAATGGAGTGTATGAATGTGGCAAAAACTTACTGTGCTGCAGCACATGCAGTATAGGGCAAAGGAAGATTTGTGTATTATGTATATATGTATATATTTTATATGTATATATGTATAGTGTGTATGTGTATATATGTATGTATGCATGCACATATCTCACATAGCAACTGAGTATTCAGTATGAGCAAATGACATCTGTTTCAAAACTTTGCTTCATTCATTTTAAGTCTTTTGGATAGTAAGGCACTAGAACAGGGATGTAATTGTAATTCCCTTTCCCTTCCTGTTCTTCATACAGCTGTTCAGTAATTCATTCAGCAAGTGGGTTTTAAGTGCTTCATCTGTCTGTTCTAGATGTGTAAGAATGGCACCATGAATAGAAACCCCACCCCTGGAGGACCTTACTATTTGTTTGCAAGAGAGTAGGTGTTATGGAGGGTCAGATTTCAGGAGATATTTTTTTATTATTATTAAGATTGTTTGGTGAATCATACAGCTGTCCTGTGACTCATCAAGGCAGGTATTTCTAACAGTGTAAGCTCTTTGGAACTGCTCTATGTATACTAACAAGCTGTGTTGAGGAACTTATCTATCCATTCTTTCTTTTGCTTTATTATTTTTTGAGACAAGTTCTGACTGTATATATACCTTGGCTGCTCTGGAACTCACAGAGATCTGCCTGCCTTTGCCTCCTGAGTGCTAGGATTAAGATGTGTTCTACCATACCTGCCCTCTAATTTGTTTTTTATAGTTACACACACACATATATATCTTACAAAGGAAAATGTAAAGTAGTGGTTAATAGTTCAGACTTAAACCACACTTACCAGGATTTAAATGTCAGCCAGTAGTTTGCCATGTAAGATTAGGCAAATTGTTTAATTCTCACTGAGTAAAACCCTATTGGTAACTTGATTAACCTCTCTTTTTTTATTTTATTTTGATTAGTAAAATGTAGAGATGTGCACCTATCTCATGGCCTGTTACTCAGATTAGAAAGCATTTCTCAAGTTACAGCTAGTGAATGGCAGAACCGGACCCTTAAAGAGAAAAACTTTAGGGGCCAGTGAGATGGCCCAGGATAAAGGTGCTTGCCAATGATCCTGCTAACTTGAGTTCAGTACCCTAGACCCACTTGGTGAAAAGAGAGAAACAACTTCCACAAATTGTCCTCTGACTTCCACAGGCATACACACCAATAATAATAATAATAAAGGAAAAAAATCATAATTTGTTTTTAAAAAAAATTTTTAAGTTAAAGGCTTTATCTGAGATAGTTAATGATTGATTGGAACCATCATTTAAGGAGACAGTACATGAAAGCCTAGGACAGAGTAACCCCAGTTCCATTGGACCTTGAGAGAAAGAGCTAGAACACTGAGGAGTTAGTTTGGGAAACTGAAAAGTGTAAACATAAGACTAAGGGATTACTAGAAGAACTGATTTTAGGTGTGGACCTTCAGAGAGCATTCTGGACAGGGGATGGTGTGTATGGAAGGGACACTTGTGATCCATTGGATCACATCTTGTAAAGGCTCCCACTGTTCTTTGTCACCACATGTAGGTGGTCTTCTCTGCAGCCATATTTGGGAGGCTGCCTCTGGTCATCTAGAGAGAGGGTAAACAAACCTTTCTGGTGGGTGTCTGAATCTAATAAAAAGTATTGTTATACCCTGTTTTATAAAAGAATTAAAGGAGAGAAAAATCACAAAACAAATGGATCGTATCTGATGATTTCCTTTCTTTTTGCATCCTTTCTTCTGGGGTCATTGATTTGCATTTTATCTGAGAAGGCAGAAATCAGTAGTCTCTCATTATAATATATGCAGAAAGTTTATCCCTAACGGAGATGAGAGTATTATAATTGATTGTGGAGTCTCTAAACTGTCCACTACATGTAAATGAAGATGATCCTATGAATGAATATTGACCGTGGTTTCATGTTACAGAAAGATGTTGGATCCAGGATTGGTGACATGTTCAAAGCAAGCGATGTTTCTTAACCTTGTCTACAAATCCCTGAAAGCGGACATCGTGTTGCGCCGGGTGAAGGCTTTCATGAAGAGGTTACTTCAGGTTACTTGCACACAGATGCCGCCATTCATCTGTGGAGCGTTGTATCTTGTGTCAGAGATCCTTAAAGCAAAGCCAGATTTAAGAAGTCAACTAGATGATCATCTGGTATGCTTTTTACTGCTTCTTGACCCTAGTGGGTGCTGATGCATTGGGTGGTTTTTTTTTTTTTTTGCTTTACTGACGGTAACTTAATTTCTCTGGAGCATGTTAAGACTATGAGATTTTGAGCTGGACAGAGCTAGATTTCACTGCCTGGTGTACAGCTAGCTAGATGGACAGGTTGCTTAACTCCTGTATTTATTATATAACAAACCATACTACAGTAGAAATTGGAATAATATGAGGTAGTTATGGGTGCTTATAGAGCCAGTAGATAT